CTACGACTCCCTCGCCCTAATTGAGCTAGCCTCGCGGGAAAAACGAGCATGTGTGCCGTTACGGGACCGGGGACGCAGCGATTGATGCACGGTTTAAAAGTCTCAGGTCAACTGGTGGCCTCTGAGGGTCAGGTCAAGTGCCCCGAGGGCCAAAATACGATTTCGAGTTTTAAGAAATAACTTTGCCAAAAAACGGCGCAGAGTCGCGATTTTAGTACCATCATGTTTGTCATGCTCCGGTGCGTCAAATGGTACACTTTTGTTTGGGTGGGGTCAACATATGGTGTTCACATCGGTTCAAAGTCAGGTCAGAGGCACTCAGGTCACGAAGTTGGTCGGAGGAGGTTATATCGTATATAATTCGATTCGGTAGGTCTTCCCGAGTCCATTGGCGACTTTTTCGACTTGCCAGTTCAATTTTATCAGGAGTTATTGACGAAAAAACTTGTGACCTTTGTGACGTCATAAATGACGTCACGCTAGGTTAAAGATGCAAAAGTGAAGCATTGGACATTGCAAGAAGTGCATGAAATTGCGATTCCATGTGCATGAGCTAGGTTTAGATCAATCTCGGCGTCAAAATTACAGTTTCCATATTTTCCCCATTGACTTGTAATGGTGACGTCACGCGATCGGTCTGACTCTGACCTCATGTGACCTCTAGGAGAAATCCGAGATATACAAGTTTTGAGACTTCTAGAGGATACTATGTCCTGTAAGTATCAGCTCGCTGTGACAACTCCTCTGGCACCGAGGGCATTGCGAAGTTTCGGTATTTTGGGACTATTGCAGAGGTTCACGTGTGACGTCATAAGTCAGTGATCTGACCTGAGACGGAAATGCAATTGGTTTCCAAAGATGCGTATGGAAGCAAAGATAAGGTGTGCCAAATAGCAGCCCTCTAGCTGTAAGGTGTTTTGAGCTATCGCCATAAGTCGTGAGTGGAGCGCTACTGACTCCTCCGGTCGGCCGCCGGGGGTTAGGAGGCGTGCAGGGTATCGGAAAACCACCTGGTACTTAGCGAATTTTGCCGATAAAAATACGTTTCTTATGCCGACGTATAGCCAAAAGACTACTGAATCTCAAACCAGTCGTATCCTTGCACTAAATGGCTTGGTTTAGACACGATAGGTCTGAAAAGAAAAGGTCCCATGTATTCTCTATGGGCGCCGCGAGGCCGTTGGCACCAGAGTTTCGGGAAGTGCCCTCGCCACAACCGCACGTGCAGATTTGGTCACGTGACCAAGCGCATTTGCCGCCACTGTATTTATATACACTGTGAGTGTATGTAATTCATCGACAGTGCCAGAAGTTAACTTGAGGGAAAGCTATGCTAATTGCTCTTGTCCATCCACTAAAATTTATTAAATATTTTGCTTTGTGTATTCCAAAAGGAGAGGGAACTATTTCATTTGTGCCTTCATGTCAGAATTGAAGGTGGATCATTAAATTTTCAACGCAGTTTACAAACAAGCATTTGGTCTTTCTCGTTTATAAGCAGTGGCTAAGAAAAGGTTGATCAATCCTGAAGTTCAGTCATCGTAACTCAACTTGGCAGCAAGATCCCCCAAGGACAGAGGATATATTGTATACATGTCCTGTAAATCAAAACAAACAAGCATTTGGTCTTTCTCATATATAAGCAGTGGCAAGAAAAGGTTGATGAATCCTGAAGTTCGGTCATCATACCTCAACTTGGCAGCAAGATCCCCCAAGGACAGAGGATTTATTGTAAACCTGTCCTGTTAATCAAAACATTGTTCTGCCTTCAAAGGCTTAAGTTATCTGTGGTGTGTTCGGAGTTAGGCTATATGGCCGTTTTTGTTGTATGTTTATGTGGAGATTGAATATAACTGTGACCCTGTGCTTGTTTGTATACTTACGGTCAAACGGGGAACAGCACATTGACATAAAATACTCACCTAGCACCTAACTCATAGCTGTACCCTGCAGGATCTGTACTTGTTCATGTCTCGAGCATTAACAAAGCACTAGAGTAGCTTAGTAATCATTTCCCACATTTTCTGAGCATCTAACATGACATACAGCAGTGCAGAGCAGCTTCATAGAAGAAACACTTTAAATGCATAGACTCACACGGCACACCAGCCACCCAATGAGCCAGTTCCTCAGTCGACTGTTTCCCTGGACACAGCTTGGCAGTGTGAGCTAACTTTTGGCAAGTTGAAGGTTAGCAGGTAAGATTGAGTTAGGGTGAGTACCTAGTCTACCTACCTATAACTGGGTGCTACTGCCATGCAGGTCTTGGGTAGGCTGCAAATATGTGTGATGATTGAGGTTAGGTCAGCTGTCAGGTTAGTCAGGTTCAGGTATGCTCATTGCTCAGGTCACATTTTTATGGACATTTGGCAAATTAAAAAACTAACAATCTGATCTAAGCTAACCCGACTAAACATACACAACTACTGACTATAGGAACTGAGCACCTACCTACTTGTGCCTACATCTCATACAATGTCAAAGTAGAGTTCCTTGGTGGAAGATTACCCTCAGTACTTTTTATCCCAGCCCTGTGAAGAAAACTAATACTTCTAAGCTCTGAGTCACTGCTGGCCATCCACAAGAAGAAACGCTGAGACTGAGAGCTTTGCCATTGTATATTGGACCAATATTGACTATCACGAATGACTATGAACACATAATATGATCACATCGTTGCATGGATTGTCACATTGACAATTTTACTACCATCGTTTTTTCAAGAAATACAGTGATGATGATTAACATAAAAATCAACATTAAGTGGATTTAGTGATCCAAGCTTTCTCCTCCAGTAGCAATGGAATGATCGCATGCTTCATTTGCCAGACACTGAGTACCTGATGCACATTACAATCTGCATAGCATCTATGCATAGTAAAACTGCCCAAGTCCATTCATTCTAGATTTTAACTTGATAGTTAGCACTAATTTATCTTGCTGTTGTAAGTTATCATTCAATATTCACACCAATACATCAATATGCGCTCATCAGTCAACATTTTCTGGCATGATCCTGCTCAAGTGCTCAGCGTGCTCTTCAGTATTGCTCCAAGGTCTGCAATATTATAGCCTGTTTTTGGACAATAAGCTCTTTTAATTTTAATTTTTCTTGCTAATATATGAGCCTGATCAACTTGCGTTTATCAACCAAAATTTCATAACTTGTTCAACTTGATATTGATATTGCTCAGTAGTCAGGACCTCTGTCAGCCTCCTGGATACTTCAGATTGTTTTCAGTCAACATGCTTCTTAAATATGATATAAGTCAATCTTAAGGGATTCAAAACATCCAACAAAACGACGTACAAGAGCAAGAAAACCACCAGATAAACAAAAAAATGGCCTTGGAACAGAGCCAAGTGGTCCTCCATTTGTTTGTTTACAACCAGTATAACGCCTTTTGGGGCGACTAACGGAGCGAGCGAGAGGGTGACCCTTGCACGTGCGAAATTTCGAGGGGGTACCACCAGCTGACTTGTGCACGGCACCCTACTAACCGGTCTCTACCGATGTGCCAAATTTGAGCACAATCGGCCCAGCCGTTCTCGAGATCTGGAAGCGCCACCCTGCACGTGCGCACGTGCAAGCGGGGTCCAAACTGACTTTTGCACGGCACCCTACTAACTGGTCCCCAACCGTGTACCAAATTTGAGCGCAATCGGCCCAGCCGTTCTCGAGATCTGGGAGCGCCCCCTGCACGTGCGCACGTGCTGTAGCACCCCAACCTTAACACATGCAGATGAATTATCTGATGGAGACCTAACTGTGTACCGAGTTTCAATTGAATCGGCCCAACCGTTGTCCCGTTATTGAGGTTGCAATTTTGGGGGCTCTGAAAAAATGTCCAACTTTACCACGCGCCACGTGCGGTGGTTGGCAAGAACGCATGGTGGCCATCACACCACAAAACTTTTACGTCCAAGTGACATTCAGTAAAGAAGACCGCTTGTCAATCGGATGTCCCGTTCCTAAGATATTAGCTTTTGAAGAGCGTCCCCACGGCCGGCCGGCCGCTCATACTCAGGATTTTTCCTTAATTCAGTATGAGACTCCGCTCGCTTCGCTCGCTCCGTAATGATTGTAGTGCTGATGTATTTTTAGGACTCTGAACGTCGGCTTATAAAAAATGAAACGTTTTTACAAAAGTTGTAAGGCAAGTAATATTTATCTGAAAGAACTAAAATATTCAAAAGCCAAACACTATGAAATACATGAATCGGAACGAAAAAGTAACCCAAAAATCCAGCCTAATCACCGGCTCCTAAAACTGCAACACAATCAGCACTTTTCCCCGCAACTCGTTGTCCAGACGTAAATATGCAGCAGTACCATACCGGACACGATTTGGTAGCCGAGGTCTGTGACGTCAGCCGGGCGTGAAGTTTTCCCTTCACCATAGGCTTCACACACAAACTGGCCGAAGTTCATGCCAGGATAGCCCGGCTTGAAAGTGCAAAAATGATTAAATTTTGCCCTCAATAGATTCATTGCCTCATTTTATAACTAAAAACGTCCGTTATTAGGGCTCAATGAAGGTAAAAAGTACTTAAAATTGAAGTTCAAGAAGATGCTGTCCGAGCACAATCTGGTAGCATCACGTAACCTCTTTTAAGCAGAATGTATATAATTCAAGGATGTTATTACACGATTGCTGCCTAAAACATCATAAATAATACGCTTGTAACATTTATCGCTTCTGTTTAAGTCATAACATTGCAAAACGCAAAGTTTATTATGGCAGTCACGTGACCAAAGGTATAGCAGGGGTTGGGACAAGCACTCAAAGGATTTCAAGTTTTTTAATTAAATTATATAGGTTTCATGATGAAATTGAAAGAATGTATTTTTTCCTAATGAAATACAAATTTTCGTATGTAAAATATTTTCTTTATGGGCGGAATTCTCCATATAAATAATGTCAGTGACGTCACCAGGGCTTTACTCAAAACATCCGACCTACCTGTTTCTTATAGGTATCTTGCCCTTATGCATCCTTGAGGAATACAATCGTGAACTTGCTTGCGTGCGATGTGGAAACTGTGGAAATATTTTGAGACTCGCGCATAATTGGAGCACCGCTTTTTCAATTTGCCTTCTTTGAGTGTTGATAAGGAGCAAGAGAATATGAGGATTATGCTGTAGAAGTGCATAGTAGAAAACAGAAGTCAAATTAATGGTTTTACGCGACCGGTAAAGTCATCGTTCTGCGTTATTAATGCCGCATTATGAACTATTTGCTTAGATAACCTTTGATTCAATTTGGCAGTAGTCCTGACTTACTTCAAACTGATTTGGATGTTTCCATGATGACTTCCTTTTTTACGTTTAGTTTTGGCTAACTGTAATCTTCTTATTGTGATTGCTGATTCAGTAACAGTGGGGCAGGCGTCACCAAAGCAACACATTTCGTTTTTACAACCAAAGAGAGGCACTATACTCAGAGAGGAGATGCTTCTTTCTAACCAAGCCAAAACAAACCTAACCTAACCTTCAACCTACCACCTACAACATACAATGTACAAACCAACAACAAATCAACTCTCCTCGGTTGTGGTTGCAAAAACAGCACATGGTGATGCCTGCCCAGCCCCACAGTTACCAGTGTCAAAGTGTTTGCTTCCATTTTCTTACTCAGTTCATTTAAGTTTCTGCTCCTTTGGCATAATTTTGATATAAAACCTGCATCCTAACATGAGAGTGTACTGGTTTATTGTTGGAAACATGAATTTTCAGCTAAAGTTCTTAATCCTTAACTGAAGCACCTGCTCCGAGCCAAAAATGTTAGTTGTGTCAATCTTGGTTGACATATGTTTAACACCTTTTTGAATTAGCCAAAAAGACCAAAAGAGCATAATTCTACAAAACAAGTGATAGACTTTACCTAACTTAACTTAATGCCTGCCTAAACACCTGCTTTGAACCTACTTAATGCCTACTTAAAACCTGACACCTACCATTTGCACTTGCAGTGTATGTAGACTTAGAGAGACAGGTGCTTTAGTTGGAGATTAGCATTATGTTTTTCACAACTGATATCGTGAGTGTTCTGTATGAAATAGCCATTACAAATATTTCATTTATCACCTTTCCCTTATTTATATCTACTCATTATATGTTAAGGTTCTATTTTTACCCTTATTTCCTCATGGGATGTGTGGCTGATCTTGGATGAGCATGGGGGGGGGGGGGGGGGTTGAGGCTGGACATGAAGGACATTTGCCTTTCCCTCAGGGCTGGTTAGTTTTGAAGCTTGAAATGAAATTATTTTGGAGAGAATGTTCCCCAACAGCATGTCAAGCAGCTTTACTGGATTCATCATTACAACAGTGTTAGATTATTTTTGATATGAGCTAAAATGACCTATATTTGTCAGAGCTTATTAAATATAGAGCTTGAAAAAATATACAGATTCTTAATTGAACCACATGTTCTGTTTTGTTCTAACACCTCTCATTCTAAACAATTCATATATACGACAACAAATTCCAGGATCATTCTGCAGAGACAAGGCTCTGATTAATGATTATACCTTCTGATTTCTGAAAGCACATTACATGATTAAAGGTATACATATTATAATATGTGAACTTATGTAATAAAGGCTTAAATTTACCAAAACACATCTCTTTATGCTTAACTGCCCAGATGTTGTAAGGAAAACACCATAAGCATTGAGGGAAAATCTCCATCAGTTGTTCATTTTGTACTAGTATGTTTTTCTTTTTTACATGGTTATATTTATAATCATGTCTTTGTATGCACTCTTTGACCACATTTTTTATTTATTTATTTTTCAGTCATAGTCTGCAGCAATGACACCAGAACAATTCAGAGGGCTGCTCAAGCAATGGGACAGGGTCGGAAGGAGTGACTTGTGAGTATCCATTTTTATGGTGTGCCGAACTCATCTCTGGTGCTGTTGCTTGTATCATGCATTGTAAAAGAGCAAAGTTGAAGGACTTGTTGAAACTGCCACCTTGTGTGGGCTCTAGTCTTCACACTATGATATACCTAGCTGCTAGGAGTCATTTTTTTAGTTGCTGCTTGCATAGGCCGGTCCCGCAGCTCAGTTGGTTAGAGCGTTGGACTCCGCGTGGTGAGAGCACGCGTTCCCGGTTATGACAGTCCGGGTTCGAAGCGCGACGGGCGCTCGACATTTATGGGCCTCCTGACAGGTATGGTTGCGGTTGGTGGCAGGCCGTAGCCAGGTGAAGTCAGCGAGGGGACCGGCCGTGCGCGGCTTTGTGCGCACGTTAAACTTTGGACTCTAAATTCTGCCATAGAACCGGAATTGCGCGATCGGAGGGTAGAGGGCAGGGTCATCGCAACAAGCTTCGCTTAGCGGTGGCTCTGTCCTTGTGAATCCTTCCCATCAAAAGGTTCGGACTAAATTTATAAAAAAAAAAAAAAAAAAAATAGGCGTCGCCAGACATTTTCGGTTGGGGGGGGGGCAAAATCAAGTTTTGTGTTAAATCTTGCCTTTCCCCAGCCGGTACTCGCTCGTTTTACATATCATTCGACGCGCAATGGTGCGAGGAATCCGATGGTGACAAAGTTTTCCTTCTATCTATAGCATGTATTTTTTTACAAAAAAAATCAATATTTTGAAATTTCTGGACAAAAACGACCGTTAGAATTACAGTGGCTGCGATTGCCGACGCACTGCAGAGGGCCCCTGTGCAGACTCTCGTCGCTCATGATCATTACCCAGAAGAAGGTGAAAAACGCTCCATTTGAATCGGATCACCTCGCTAAAACCTCCATTCACGCATGCATGCCGAGGTTTTACGTGAAATGCATAGGGCTTATCCCAGCCGCCGATTGTAGCTAGGAATTGGGCATTCGGCGGAGACTGAGAGAGAATGTCGGAAGTGTGAATCGGAAGTACATCATTCATCCTTGCTGCAGTGAGAAGAAGTGTTTTGTTCACTCGAGTGTGAACAAAAAGTTTCTGGTTTTTCGAGTGAAGGGAAGCGCTGCAAACGCGACCAAAAATATTTGACGGAACCAAAAGTTACGCACGGCATGGCGGCAAGGGATCCCTTTGAGATAGGATTGCGACTTCCAGGCCATTTCAGGCCACTCAGGGTCAGTGTGGACTCTCAGAAGCCTGCTTAGGATCCCGGAGGTCGGCGTGGGTCACCCCAAATATTTACGTGTATGTGGTGCTTTAGGGCTTTCCGAGCCTTAAGGCTGAAACAGACTCTTTCCACGTTCAGGAAATCGCATGCGAGAGCCCATTCAAATACGTTGTAATTCTTCTCGCATCAATCGCTTGCGGGAGGTGCGTGCGATTGATGCGAGCGTGCTTCCATGTATTTGAATAGGCTCTCGCATGCGTTTTCCTGACTGCGGGAAAGAGTCTGTTTAAGGCGGGCCCGGAAAGCCCTTTAGGGCACACGAGCTTTCAGAAGCCAGTGTGGGCGGCGGGCGCTAAGAGACTAGGCCCAGGGTGAGCCTGGAGCCCTCGCATAACAGTGTGAACCGTCAGGGTCTGTGTCGAATCCTTAACCTTCCAGGCGGTGGGGGGGGGGGGGCATTTTTTTGCCCCCCCCCTTTACTTTTTTCAATATATCTCGAGAACCGCTGCGCCGATCGTCACCAAACTTTCAGTACCCTCCCGGGAGCAGCTAGCGCACATGATGACCAAAAATTTTTCCAAAGGCTATGATAGGTTGGCCGCTAATGACGTAAGAGTGACGTCATTTTTGCCATTTTCGACCCAAAAAAAGGTTTCGCGGGAAGAGCTGTCAGGCCTACAGCTTTAGAGATACAGAAAAATGTTTTAGACATAAAAGGTGTGGAATCAAAAGGGCTACAAAACTGCTATTTCGGTTTTTCGATTTTTTTTTGGATTTTGACCCCCAAAAATCAAAAAAATAGATTTTTTGAATATAATAGCCAAAAAATCCAAAAAGTTTTTTGAATTTCGAATAAACCGGAATATATGTGATAGTCCCTACCGCCTTCTATCTACATACCAAATTTGAGATCGATAACTCGTTTTTGGCGAAGTTATAGCGAAAAAACTGTTCAAAATTGATGACGTCAAATTTTCAAACTCAATTTTTAGCAATTCTAGACCTCGTAGCGCAAAACAAAGACCACCATTAGACTCCCCGTGACGAGCTGCATCGAATCGATACCCATTTTGTGCAAAAATATCAACTTTGAAATTTGACCTTTTTTGACCTGACCTTGACCTGATCTCCACCAGAAAGTGACCTAAACCGTACCTGATGGTCTTATAACCAACACCATTGAGTTGGAAATGAAAAACTGGCCATAAAACATGCATCACATAACCTTAGTAAAGTTGGGCTCATGTGGTGACCCTTGGTGACCTTTGGTGACCTGACCTGTGACCTGACCTGGTATGACCAGTGACCTCTAATAGCAACATATGTACTAGACAACTGACGCCTTATCGCTGATTTTCGACAAAATGCGTTTTACTCGGTGTTATAGCGCTTTCCCTAGAAGCCCTGTGAACGGTGAAACATTTTATCTTTGACCTGACCTGTGACGTCATCGGTGACCCCGAGGTCAATGAAATTTGGTTTCTCTCGACAAATTTGACAGGGCTTGCGAACGCCGTTTGAATTTTCCGGATCCGTCCAGTAGTTTCGGAGATACGGGGGGGGGGGCAAAAAAGTGCCCCCCCCCCCCCACCGCGTGGAAGGTGGCTGGTAGGCCCACCGCCTGCCGGGTTAAGGACCCTACGTTGGTAGGGACATAAGAAACATGTGTTGCGGCCCTCAGAGGGACACGTGAGTTGTGACCCCTCAGATGCCGGGTTGGGGTTAGTAAAGTCTGTCGCCTCAAAAGTTCGGCTGAACTATCATAGGCCAGTTGAGGTTTTCAGAAATTTTCGAAGGCATCCTCAAAGATTCGTGTAGCCCTTCAGAGGTCTACGTATGTATAAGGCTGCGGAGTCGATGGATTTTCGGCGACTCCGACTCCGGCTTTCAAAAACCAGCTCCGACTCCGACTCCGACTCCGGGCAGAATTATCGACTCCGACCGACTCCAACTCCCGACTCCGACTCCGCAGACCTAGCAGGGCTGCGGAGTCGACAGATTTTCGATGACTCCGACTCCGACTCCGGCTCGGGTTTCTAAAATCGACTCCGACTCCGACTCCGGTCACAACTGTCGACTCCGACCGACTCCGACTCCGACTCCGACTCCGACTCCGCAGCCCTGTGTATAATGTCCTCGAAGATCCCTGTATGGGCCCTCTAGAGAACATGGACACCAGTGGGACTCTCAGAGGCCGGTTTGGGCCCTCCGAAAGCTTCTTAGAGCTCAGTGGAGCTCCTTAGGAGCCTGCGTGAAAAGCAGGCTCATGAGCCCTGCGGCACTTGAACGGTACTTGTGCCTGTCGCAGACATTTGACGAGAGTTGAGAAAGGCCCCGAAGATTTCGTGTCACGCTTTGATCGAAAATTATGTGTCAGCACTCCAAAATTTATGAAAATCAGCTACAAAATGTAATAAAGAACCAACTAGGAACATGGCATGAATCATGGCATTGACATTCCGAGTCTGGAGTCGGAGTCTTGAAGATTTTGGCGACTGCGACTCTGACTTTGGTTTGAACTGCACGCTCCAACAGAGTCTGACCTCACAGGCATTCTCAGAAAGGTACCCCCATTTTTCCCCCGACTCCAAAATCTCATCGGATCTGTATCGATCTCAGGGGGTGCCCGGTCCGAGGTTGGGGGGGCAAGCTGCCCCGCTTGCCCCCCCGTGGCGACGCTAATGGCTGCTTGTCCAGAGGCAAGCTCATTGAAAAAGAAAAAGAAAATGGCAGCCACTGATATTCATTGAAGTATTATTTACAATTTTTGCATAGGTACCTATTCATAGTTTTATAGTTAATCAAACACTCGAGCTTCATAGCGTTTAACTCTCGCCCTGCTGGGGGGGGGGGGGGGGTGTTTGAACACCCCCCCCCCCTTGTGTTTTTTTTCGAATATCTCAAAAACGGCGGCGCTCCCGTTTTTGGTACACCTTATCATACATCAATTCTACACATGTTGTGAAAATTTCAGACCAAGGTCATTCAAGGTCAGGTCACCAGGTCACTTGAAGTGACCTCACCTCATTAAAAGTTTCAATGTCTGTCATAGCTACACCGAATGACCGATCGCTTTGAAACTTTCCGCGATTGCTAAGAGCAATAGCATGTACAAAATGTATGTCTCAGAATTTTGATATCGATGACCTAAGGTCAGGTCAATTTTGCGACCTCCCCATTATAAGTCAATGGGAGAAAATTGAAATGCGCCTCTTTTGGACGAAAAAAATTATAAACACTCCCAAACACAGAATTACAAGTGGTTTAGACACACTGAACATGAAAATGGTGGACGTGACCCTTGTTTATGCCCTGAGGTCATCTTAGGTCACGAATGGTAACTAACAGTTTTTCGCAAATAACTTTTGATAGAGGCATGCTAGAGCGATGAAAACGCCTTAGATGTGTTCAGCTCAACGATACGGATCGATTGATATGCAACATGACCCTTTCCGGTCAGGTCATGACCTTGACCTGAGGTCAAATTTTCAAGTTGACCTTTCAAGGTCAAGTTATAGTTCATTCGATGCGTCTTGACGAGAGGAACGCGATGCCGGTAAAAGTAAGCTCGTACAGGGCTTGGGTCAAAAGTTATTGCAGAAAAACTGTTTCCGAAAAAAATCGGCTATTTTTGCAGTTTTTGCCCCCTGCAGGCAAAACCGTTGACGTTAGGTCAAATCTGAGAGAATTACTCAGAAAGGGCGTTAATAGGGCTATCGAATGCGCTTTTCCGCGGCGCTGTAGCTCTATTGGTTCCCGAGTTACGCGTTGGCTTCTTGGAAATTTTCGACATTCGACCTGGAAATCGGCGGTGACCTGACCTTTGACCTGACCAAAAAATTGACCAAAGAGATTTCGTCATTATTTTTGACGCTCTTTCGAACGCCGCCTTCCGCGTATCGCTACGTGGCCCAGGAGCCGAGTTACAAGGGCCCCCCCCCCCCCCCCCCCCAGCAGGGCGTGGAAATCCAGGACCCCCAGCCGGGCGCGGATTAAGAGATCAGACCAGTAGACCAAAATGTTATGCAATTTCCTTCCCCATGCTATCATTCAGTGTCAAAGGCTTATAAATGCTACCAATGCCTTGCAATGTTTTCGAATCTTTTGACAGTTGAGTTGCCATTCATTCTCATCAAATTTGATACTCACTGTGAAGTCATGTTACAAATGTTTTGAATATTTCAGCTTACAGTACCTGAAGAACATCATCCCTAATCAGGATGAAACACTTCTTGGCACAGTGGGCTCTTCAGAAGGTGAGTGTTCTCTCTAATTGTCACAGCTACAATGTTATGGCCTAATTCTTAACCCGCGCACCGACGGGGGTCTGCGCCAACTTAGTACCGACGGGGGGGGGGCGGATGACCGCCCCCCCCCTGAGATCTCGAGAACGAAGCAAGATAGCGACAAGCGGTAAACGGCATCGGATACGCACGGTCAAGATCTACAATTTTTACAAAGGTCATTTTCAGGTCAGGTCAAAGATGACGTCACAGGGGTCGAAAAAGTCGAAATGGCGGCGCTAAATAGGGAGAGAGTTTTTCTCGAATAACTTTCGAATTAGTCAAGATAGGAACAAACTAAGGGCATCATCGTGATCCTCTCGTCAATCCGCATCGAATGATATATATGTTGACCTCGAAAGGTCAAGGTCAAAGGTTGACCTCAGGTCACGTGACCTCGAGGTCATCATGTATATCATTCGATGCGTCTTGACGAGCTGAACACAATGAGACCATCCACGCGTCTGTATCTTGTTCCTGTACGGAGTTATTGGCCAAAAACCTTTGGTGACCTTTGATGACGTCACATGACCTCACAGCCGCCCAACAGCAAAACAGACCTCAAGGTAGTGAAGGTTGATCGTATATGAAGTCATGTATGGTATATGGGGCCATTCCGACCCGTTTTAGTGGTAAAAACAGGGAGTTCATTTTTCCCCCATTGACTTATAATGGGCAGGTCGCGAAATTGACCTGACCTTAGGTCACCGATATCAAAATTCCGAGATATACAAATTGTAGCTACTAATGACCTTATAACATCCTGCGACTTTCAAAGGCCTCCGACATCTACTGTAGCTCTGGCACGGTGACAAAGTTGCAAAAAAGTGACTTGAGGTTGGGTCATTCAAAGTGACCTGGTGACCTGACCTTGAAAGGTAGGAGGTTCAAACTTGCACACCATGTGTAAAATTGATAAGGGAATAGTCATACCAAATTTCGCGGCGCTACGCGCCGCGGTTTTCCCGCTATTCGCGAAAAACCTCAGGGGGGGGCGGATATCCGCCCCCCCCCGTCGGTGCGCGGGTTAAATTCAGGATTCCAAATATAAGATAGGTAGGTAGCTAATGCCTTTGGAGGTTTATGCTGAAACTTCTTTGAAATAGCATCACTAACGGTGCAAACTGGTTTGTTACCAATTTTATTTATCTTAATACAGCTGCATAGCTGTTACACAAATTGTCCATAATGCCACCTGTGTCATGTCAATGCAAGGCACGTAACGTTTTTTTTTTTTCAAAATCACAGCCTGCCGTAGTCGACGGGTTCTTAAGTCCCCAGTCAGGAAACTATTGTACCATAATTTGTTGTTTTGTTTGTGCAGATGTACACATGTGTCTGTACCGGCTGATCCAGGCTGGCGCCGACGGCGTTCTGAAGAAGGAGAGCGTCGCCAAGACGCTGTCAGAGGCTGTGGTGAGTGAAGACTACGGGCCTCCCCTGTCATCACCATGACCATAACCTGGCCAGTGTACTGATTAAAGGCTCCTAGTTCCGTCTGCCAACCAGTCCTCACATTGACATCTGTCTAAGAGTCCGTTTATATGTAATTGTGCAAGATGGTTCGATATAATATTTAATATTCATGAAGCACGGCACAGTATATCATTCAATATAGTGCATGGACCTACTCCTAGTATCTATTAGTTACCTACCGCGATACTGATCTTAGGCTCGCGGTTGTCCGTTTCAGACGCTCCACCCCGACCTCCCAGCGGCAGTGGTTGACATTTTCGGCATGCTCGATGTCGAAATCACCGCGACCGATGATCCCAAAAGTAAAGAAAGGTTCTACTGGATCATCAAATCCGTCGAAGGAGTAAGTACCTTTTGCTTGTTACCAGGGCTGCGGAGTCGTTGGATTTTCGGTGACCCCGACTCCGACTCCGACTTCCGAAAATCAACTCCGGCTCCGGCTCTGCAGCGCTGCTCGCAAACATGTCTTTTTGATGCAATAATTATCGTCCGGTACTGCTCATGAGCGTTTACAGTTTCTAGTCTTAGTTTCTTAACTTATAATGTAACTGCCTCATACTTCCTGTGAAGCCAAGGCAGGATACTTGCCACAATGTCCGCTGTTCTCCCTTGGTGCTCGTGTGCGGCGTCCCCTACCGTCTCTGACCGTTGGAACTCGTTTCAGGCCGTGTCCAACCAACTACTGCGAGAGCGGATGGAGGTCGAGAGCTTCCCGCACATCGGCGTCGTCAAAAACCCCAAGGCCTTCAACTCAAAGTTCATCAAACTCAAAACAAAGCTTTAGTGAGTTCGTACTTCGTACTGGATGAATGCTAGCGTTAATTTTCAAAATGGGACTTGCGTCCGTTTAGGTAATTACCCTGTCATAATTCTTTTTTAGGTATTTTGATTCCTTTTTTATACAGTTGGCACACTTCTTTTTGCTTTCGAGGATTCACATTGAATTGTTTTTTTTTCCTACATTAATAAGCTAGGCTATCAAGTCTCTGTGTAGCTCTAACAGTCTCTCAATTTTTTAGTGCTTTCATTCAGATCTAACGCCCAATCACTTTCATTGGCATCATCGTACGATGTTGATAATTATCGGTATGAATGCGCTGACACCGCGCCGTATATGTGCCACGCAGCTACAAGCAGCGCAAGTTCAACTTGTTCCGGGAGGAGAGTGAGGGTTACGCCAAGCTGCTAGTAGAGCTGAACCAGGACCAATCCAGCTCCTCGCCAGAACACATGCTCGAAGTCATCAAAGCCATCATCGGTAAGGCACACCAGCTTATAGCAGCTCTTAGCTACCCTATCAGATAGCAGCTTTTGGCTTTCCTGTTTTCGGATGATTCATCCCTAGTTGTTACCTCTGATCTAGTTGATGTCTGCTCTGTTGTGTCAACTGGGGCATTCCACGATAGATCGTACCAGGCCCGTCACCCTCATCTCTCAGATTTGAATGAAAATTGGTACTAGGGGTAATCATAGGCTCCAAAAACACCTGTCAAAATTTCAGACTTCTCAGATGAAAACTTTTTGAGCTACATTGCATAATATTTTCTAAACTTCAGATTGTAAGGGTGAGTTTGATGAGCTATAACTCAAAAACGAGCTAAGCAAGCAACAAACGGTAAACAGCTTTGAACTAACGGTGAATCAAAGATTAATACAGCTTTTTTAAAATTGGAAAGAAAAGCTTTTAATATTGAAAAAGTCGTAATATTTTTTTTTCAAATTGTCTATAACGGCCCTTGGGACCAAAATTTTTGCCATTTTTATTTCTTCAAAATAAAGTTTAGGTCATTTAAAATCGACATGCAAAAAATTAGAAAGGTGTTCTTTCTATAAGTTTCTCATTTTAATGCATACAAAATGGGTTTCCGGGGGGTCGGTACGACCCCAGCTCCCCGTTTCGCCTCTAATGGAGCTAGAACCTTGCGGAAAAAACGAGCATGTGCGCCGTTACAAGATGCACCGAATGATACCACATTTGAAGGTCTCGGGTTCATTGGTGACCCCTGAAGGTCATTTCAAGTGACCCAATTACGGGTCCGGTTTTTGGTAGATAACTTCGCAACAAATGGTCGCAGAGCCCCAGTTTTAGCATCTTTGTGTTTGCCTAGCGCCGGCGCGTCGAATGGTATACTGTTTATTCTGGTGAGGTCAGCTTAACCCTATTCCTGGCGGGGGGGGGGGGCCTCAGGAGCCCCCCCCCCCCTGAGGTTTTTTGGTTATATCTCCCAAACGCTTTGAGCTAGGAAGCTCAAATTTTCTGACTTTTTCTTAAAGGCTTTTACGCAACATTTCTGAAAATTTTGAGTTGATCTGACCTCAGGTCAGGTCACCAGAGGCGGTTTGGTGACCCTACCTCAGAAAAGTTTGCAATCACGCCACAGCTAGAGTTTTTGACCGATCAATTTCTTCTCTTCAGGCTTTAGTTAGGGTACCAGTATGTGCAATTTGTATATCTCAGAATTTTCATATCTGTGACCTGAGGTCAGGCCAGACTCGTGACCTTTACATTGCAAGCAAAATATTGAAACGCCTCCTGCTTCGTGTAAACGAGTCAAAACCACCCAGTTCTTTCAGTATTATGGAAGATTATCTCATCGGTGATGATCCTGGTGCCGCTAATTGACAGGGGCACCGGCAAAGGTCATCTGAGGTCATGTGACGTCATAAATCGTTTTTTTTCTGTCAATAAATCACGACATGATGGTGCTAAAGACTTGTAAGTGGTACCAAACTGCTCGCCTGGTCAAGGCGCGTCGTTTGGTATGCAGCATGACCATACCCCACAACCTCATTGATGAATGACCTGACCTTGACCTCAGGTCAAATTTTAAATTGACCTGTGAAGGTCATCACATACTTATTTCGCATCGCCTCGGCGAGAGCAACAAAAAATGTATTGGTTTTATGTCTCTATGTTTCTTAGTTTAAAAGTTATATAGGTAACTAATTCCAAAACATTTTATCGTTGATGACCTCTGGTGACCTCAATATTGACCTGACCTGAAAATGTTTTATGTAAAAGTTGTAGATCTTTAAACGACCTATCAAACGCCGTTCGCCGTTTGTCGCTGCGATGTGTAGTTTTTGAGATCTGAAGGGGGGCCGAATCGGCCCCCCCGCCAGTTTCTTGTCCCGGCGGAGCCCGCAAGGAATAGGGTTAAGTTGCTGACCTCGGGTCAGCACACTGCCGTGTATTTGGCTCCGCTCCCCGACCGGGCGGCCCAGCCGGCAGCCAGCCGCCGGGCATCACGTGACCGCCCCGAGTCCGCGGCAAAGCCAACCAGCGCGGCGCTGGACAAACAGCGCCGCCACAGAGATGGTTAACAGTTGGGTCAGGCCACGAAGCTGGGTGAATGAGATCATATTGCACATCATTCGATTCGCAAGGTCTTCCTGAGTCCATTGGTAGCTTTCCTGTCTCTCTAGCTCAATTTGATAGAGAGTTATTGACGAAAAACTCTTATGACCCTAGTGACGTACGAATGACGTCACGCAAGGTCAACAATGCAAACCTGAGGCAAAAATGACTTCAATTGGACTTTCAGTAACCAGTGATGTCACTAGGCAGCTTTACCACGCCATTTGTAGGCTCTCTTCCCGAAATCACAATTCGAGACCATTACGGTGACGCAAAATTAGTACATTTATAGAAAGAACACCTTCCTAATTTTTGGCATACTACTTATTACTTAATAATGATCCAAAAATGTTTTTAAGTAATTTTTTTTTTTTTTTAAATTGGTCCCAAAGGCATAAAAATGCAAATTAAAGGAAACTCGATGTGTTATATATCAAAAATAGTTTATATTTCAAAATTTTAAAAATACATATTATTCTTCGTTTCAATGCAAGTTCAATGCCGTATAACATTTGGCATTTGGATTATCCGTCTTAGAGTTACAGCCCGCCAAACTTGGCGCTGCAACGCAAGATCCAAAACATGTTATACATTATAACTCAAAAACTACTCATCGGATTAGCCTGATATTGTCACAGGAAGATTCAGAGCCCCTGATTACCCCTTAGACCAATTATCGTTAAAATCCGAGAGATGAGGGTGTCAAATTGGAAAAAAGTGGTACGATCTATCGTGGAATGCCCCAACTCTCTTGTTCCTCTTCGTCCCCTAGCTTGCCAGGTCTCCACGCTTTCGTCTGACCACGCCTCACCATCCTCCAGGCTGTTTCAACCTGGACCCGAACCGAGTGCTGGACGTGCTGCTGTCGTCGCTGGAGGCGCGGCCGGACCGGCACAACTTCCTGGTGCCGCTGCTGCGCCTGTACATGCCGTCTGCGGAGACGGTCAGCGAGGTGGTGGGCGCGCGCTACGGCTTCTGCCAGCCGCAGCCGGGCCAGGACGAGACGGAGGCCGAGACGCCGCGCTCGCTGCACGTGATGACGGCGCTGCTGCTGCGGCACGGCGTCATCCGGCTGGAGCACATCTGGCCCTGGGTGAGTCGGGGTGGGACCGCGGCTGGAGCACGTCTTGGCTTCTGGTGGGAGAGTGATTGAGTGAGTAAGTGATTAATCTTACCCGTGACTGAGTGATAAATCTAACTCTGGGCAGTCCTGCTCAACTGCGTATTTGGTATTGACTATTGTAAGATGATGTGAAGCTGCTTTGAACTCGCCTCCCCTTCACCTCACCATCTGTTCACCTCCGTAGCTGCCTACAACCTCCCTGCCGTTGGCAACAACTAGCCCATTCCTCATCCAGTTTGCCATCTCCACCAGCCCTCACGTCACCCGTGTTATGCGCAGCTGCTACCTGCGGACTCTGCGATCGAGGCGCAGCACCGGCGCCTGATGGCGGCCGCCGCAGAGTACCAGCGGCGCACCTTCGTCGTCTCCACCAAGGACAAGGAGGAGGCGCCGCGGGACGAGACGCCGACGCTCTCGGTGAGTTATAGCAGGTTGTCCATGGCTACGTAGCTTAACTGGGGAATGGGAGTGGAAATGGGAGTGAAGTGGCATTGTGGAATGGGAGTACAGTTAGGCGTTCGGAACCCTTCAGCTGCTAGTTTAGAATTTGCAGCGTTCAGACCAGTCCTTTGTGGTGCAGCTGTTGACTGTTCGTGCAAACGTTTTGAAAACGTCATGCTTGGTGGACTACGACTGCATGTTTGGCGAGCTTGCCGTTTTTTTTTCTCTATTCGGAATTCGCTTGTTCATTCCGGCTAAATATTCTGTGGCTGGGACCCCAATTGTTGTTTTTTTTTTCGCCGAAACAATGGCGGTGTGTTTAATTCACTCTCTGCTGCTGACCATTGCCCCCCTACCCCTGCGTTCCAGCCGATATCCCAGACTCAGAAGCTGGGTCTGTGCGAGGCGGTGCTGTCGATCGGCGACTGGCCGACAGCGCAGGCCATCCTGGCCCGCTTCCCGGACTTTTGTCTGATGGTGCACCCGGAGCTGGCGGCGGCCGCCTGTCGCCTGCTCTCCGTCCGCCTGGACCCCATCTACCGACGGTAAGGAGTCATGGCTGGACTAAGTGGAGGGTGCTACTGGGCGGGCTGAGTCACGAGGCATTTACAGATTGGTGGATGAGTGGGCGAAATCGAGGAACGGCAGAGAGGGGATCGAAGATGGGATGCGCCGTCGGGTAATCCTCAGTTATGAAGAGTTCCTATTTACTTTGTGCAAGGAACGATAATGACTTAGATATTTCGTGGAAATCGTATTGTTCGCCGGAAAACTCTAGACATTATTTGAATGTCTGCTGGCCCCGCCCGTAACTGTGCTTAACTGCTCCCCGCAGTCTGTCCTCTGACGGCGCTGCCCCGGCCCGTCCCCAGGTTCAGCGGTATGGCGGCGGCGCTGCGGCCGGCTCCGGTCTCTCTCCCGCCGCTGGTCGAGGCGCGGCCCGACAGTGAGCTGACCAGTGTGCGCTCAGAGGTGGCCCCTCTGCTCTCCGTGATCGGACCGTACCTGTCGTCAGACGTGACACTGGTGTACCGCGTGCTGCGCGTGGCACGGACTGCCCACCAGCTGGTGAGTGACGGGGAAGGGGGGGGGAGGGGGAGCATAGTGTCTAGAATATTATACACAATCACTTATGAGTTTTTGTGGCATGCATCTCCGACCTCCCTCTTATCGCCCTGGAATTGTTGGCCTTGGCTCTCCGTGTCGTCTTTCAGCGCCTGCTTGAGTCTACTATCGGTCTCCTTGAGAATCGGTCCCTCCTCCTTTACACTGAGACCCCCAACACCTCCCCTTTGCGCGGCCTTGTCGCTTGTCCAACAGGGAAAAGGGTCGTACACCTGCCGACATCCCTCCGCTTCCTTCTGCCCTAGTCTGTCTAGTGACGTTTTCCCTAACCCGAATTCCTCCTTGTCACCCACTGCGTCTGAAGAGGCCTCACTGCTGCTTGCTGGTTATTCTCTGTCTCCTCTCTAGTCTTACCCTACCTCCCTCTCCTTGCGCTGCCCACAGCGTCTGAAGGAGGCGGACCCGGACGCGCCGGAGACGCGCGAGGCGTTCCTCTTCTACGACGTGCTTACCATGCTGGAGGAGGCGGTGCTGCCATGTCTGGTGCTGCTCGAGGCCAACTGCTGCCTGGCGGAGGAGATTTGGACCGTGCTCGCCTACTACCCCTACCAGCACAGGTAGGATGGCACGGCTTGGATTGTGTGAACTAAATTACCGCTCTAATTACAGTCCGTTATGTGTAACTTCACATCTTCGTGATGCCTTATGGGCATGTTGATGTTGGGTGCCGATGCTCTCCACAGTCGCTGCCCAGTGGCAGCCCACATCCTAATTCATATTATCAATAGCGGCACCAGCAGCAGTAGCACCATTATCGTGTCGTACTGTTTCAGGTATCGCCTGTACGGAACGTGGAAGAACGAGAGTCACAACCAGCATCCGCAGCTCATCAGGAAGCGGGCAGATCTCATCAAGATGTCCAAGTCGCTGATGAAGCGCATCAGCAAGGAGAACGTCAAGCCGCTCGGCAGGCTCATGGGCAAGCTGACGCACAACGCGCCCGGCTACATGTTTGAATACGTGAGTAGCGCCGTGTCTGGGCCAGACCGTCAACCTATGGGTGACAAACGTTATATAGTGTAATCCGAATGCTGTGTTGGAATTTCGGATCGTTAACTCTGCCATTTAGCCTTCACTTACTCTTTTTAACTGACGCTGTGTCAAGCACTCTTACTAGGCGACGATATCCTTCCATTGAACACTCACATATGCGCCGCTGCTCTCAGATGCTGGGCCAGATTCAGATCTACGACAACCTGATCGGGCCGATGGTGGACTCGCTGAAGTACATCACCAATCTGTCGTACGACGTGCTGGGCTACTGCATCATCGAGGCGCTGGCCAACCCGGAAAAGGACCGCACCAAACACGACGGTACCGACACTAGGGTCAAGGAGAGGAACGATGATGGGTTGCCGGGACCATTAATTGCAGGGTGATGATTGAAGTTTGAGCTGTCCTAGCAGTTTACGGTATTTTATGTTTTGACTAGGAGCAACTGATAAGTTGTGTGTATTGCTTTGTGTATTCTACTCCATCGGTTGTCCTTATGTTTCTTCCCTGATGTTTCGATCCTGTGGGATGAGAAGCTGGTACTCCGTCAGTGTCTTCTTTGCACCGTTTGCCAATTGGTGAGATGTCTTCCCGTCGAGTAGCCGTTACGCTCACTGCCCTAGTGTGACTGAATGGAGTCCCTCACCGTCACCCGACTCTCTCGCCCCCAGGTACCTCGCTGTCACTGTGGCTCACGTCGCTCGCAAACTTCTGCGGGTTCATGTTCAAAAAGTACAACCTGGACCTGACGGGGCTCATGCAGTACGTCGCCAACCAGCTCAAGTCGATGAAGAGGTCAGTATTGTGGTATAACGGGAGCTACTTGCTGATGTAACTATATGAATCAAGAAGTGGTGTTTATGGAGAAGTGTCGAAATGCTTTTTAAACGCTTGCAATCTCCTGTTGTTTTCTCCTGGAGTAGTTTTGCAGCGATATTAGATGTGGCCATTTATCCTGTTGAAAAGTAGACAGCTTTTGTCCACTTTTCGTTCAGTCAGTATACATGTTAGTCCCACAGTGCACCAGCCCGGCACCGACCACTGACGTCACCGACCCCCCCCCCCTTTCAGTCTGGACCTGCTGATCCTGCGGGAAGTGGTCCAGAAGATGGCCGGCGTCGAGGCCGTCGAGGACATGACTGAGGAGCAGCTGTCGGCTATGGCCGGTGGGGAGCTGCTCAGAGCTGAGGTCAGTATTGGATACCGGAGGGTCGGAAAAGATCGGTTACCGTAGGATGGGCCGTGGTGTCAGTTACTTGTTACTATGGGGCCGTCCGAGTCACTATGGCTGATATCACCCACGCGCAGGGGTCGATCATGGGAATGATTCGGCACATTTGGACGCTGGTCTGGTTTGTACTATGTTGTTACGTCATTTTGAGTTTTATTTATTCAGTTTTGACCGCGGCAGCAAGACCCATGGCCTGACCAGCCGCGGAGTTCCACTGTGCTCATTGAACTAAACTTTTAACACCGATGACGATATTTATTTCTGCGTGAACTTCAGTTTTCTACCAGTTTCATCATACCCAATGCTACTCACACTGACCGGTCTCGTCCCCAGGCCGGTTTCTTCAACCAGGTTCGGAACACAAAGAAGTCGTCCCAGCGTCTCAAGGACAGCCTCATCGACAACGGCCTGATGGTGCCGATGGTGCTACTCATGGCCCAGCAGCGGCACTGCGTCGTCTTCAAGGAGACCGAGGGCTCGCACCTGAAACTCGTCGGCAAACTGTATGATCAGGTATGTTTAGTGAGTGCTGTGTTAGTGCATTCACGTTCAGTATGTGACGGTGACAGCGACTTACGTTTAGTGTGAAGTTAGTGGCTAAGGCTGACCCGAGTCTTGGATGCTTATCATTCCCATGTACAGCCCTCTGCAAACTGCGTGGTAGGTATTCTTTCTTCGACAAAACCGAGAATAACGCGGATACTATGCTATCGGTCGCTCGGAAATCATAACAGCAAGATGCGCGAGACTCCGCATCTTAGATTGGCATTACCATCGCATTCATTTTCCACCCAGTTTGGCAACAAAAACCAAAAGTTTATATTTGCCCCCAAGACAAACTTTTGCATTTTGTTGCCACACAATGCATATGCTTTGTTTTAGTGATATACCCAATCGAAGGAGTAAAGCATGGCACCTCTATTTTCAGTGAGTTCCGACCGACTGACAACATAGTCTTTGAGTTATTACTGGTTTTGTCGAAAAAAGAATACCTACCACGCAGTCTGCTGAGGGCTGTACACTCATACTCCAATCTTCTGAGTCTGACGCTAATTGCTACAGTGTACTCGGAGGCTCAGGCAGACTGTGTCCTTTTGCGTTGAGCACAGCCTCTGCCTTCCGTGATTGCTCGTTCTGACCATCTCTCCCCGTCCCCTCCGCCAGTGCCAGGACACGATGGTGCAGTTCGGCATGTTCCTGGCGTCGGCGCTCAGCATCGACGACTACCGCCAGAGACTGCCGGCCTTCGACAGTCTGCTGTCGGAGTTCCACATCAGCCCCGACGTGGCCTTCTTCCTGGCCCGACCCATGTTCACTCATGCCATCCAGGTGAGACCGGCGGTGTGGAACCACACTTTGGGACTTGTCTGCGGCGATTAGTGACCGTATGATTTAGGGCTTGTGGTTAGTTCTCTTGCCCACTGTCGCTTGCCCATCGTTCTCTTGCCCACATCGACACAATCTGTAGCATCAAGCATGTAAGGTTATGAGATAGCTAGTAACAGTCACACGGCTTTTAGATATGTCGCTCAACAGGTGCTTTCATCGTATCAGACATCTGTCGTCACGTGTAACTGTGCTTACGCTTGAACATATGACCTCATTTTAGCAACGCGCTTCAAAATGCACTTCATTTGTACCGTCACCCCGTAAGCCACACATAAACCCCTTTCCCGTCCCCAGCAACGCTACGACGAGCTGCGGAAAGCCGAGAAGAACCACAAGTCGCTGTCGGTGGAGCAGAAGCGCGAGAAGTACCTGCAGGCCAGCGAGCAGGTACTGGCGCCCGTAGTCACCGCCGTGGTGCCCGTGTTCCCGGCCAAAACCTGGGACGACATCAGCGCCGAGTTCTTCACGTCGTTCTGGTCGCTGACGCTGAGCGACTTGCGCGTGCCGTCCGAGAGCTATGAGAAGGAGGTCCGACGGCTGAAACAGCAGGTCACCCAGCTGGCCGACAACAGGGACCTGGTGAGTGGTCAGCCGAGCCCGAGGGGCGAGGGAAGGTGAAGGAAGGGAAGGCTGAGCCACGCACTCGACTCGTATTTGGTCAAACGGCTGTCTGGTGCCAGCTGTTGTGGGCTTTGATGAACGTTCGTTCACTCAGTCTGATTAGCAACGTAGTTTAGGTAGAGTAAAGACAGCAGTGTTCAGGTTAGAGGCTATTTCGCAGCGAAATAAGACAATGATTGTCACCATGGTAATTAAGTAAGATTGTATCGTGACCTTCACAGACGGAGAGTAAGCGTAAGAAGGAGCAGGAGCGGTGCCAGGTGCTGATCGATAAACTGCACGAGGAGGAGAAACGCCAGAAGGAGCACGTCGACCGCGTGCTGGCCAGACTCAAAAAGGTAATAGTGCGTTGCAGCTAGGCCGGTTAGAAACGTAGCACGACCCGCCAATCGCCGTCGCTGGGCCCTGTTGTTGGGAGGATGAAAATATTGCTGACGCAATGTCAACTCTGCCGTCGAATTGATTTTATGCTTACTGTTCTGCGCCATTTAGTGTTCACGTATCTTCTATTTATATCTAGCATGATATCTGCATGATGATACTGTCTCTATGTATGCAGTAGCAATGTCCGAAAACCCGTCAGCTCCGTTAATGCCATGGGAATGAAAAGTGCTGCTGAAATTATGGCTTCCGTTCCTTTCCATGAATAACGAGTATCATAAAAAGGTCGAGGCATTCGCAATTGCCAATGATGAGCCGCACATTTGGCTGTGACTCATCCTAACTAGGCTGGTAATGAAAAATTCCGTCATGGGTCCTTTTCCAGTTGGAAGTTTCACGAGAAAAAGTGAGTGTGGAAGCACTTGTATGCTTGAAATGGATCGATTATAATTTTACACTTCTTTCCGGATGTTTGCTCATGCACATTGCACACAAACACGAGTGTTTTGCAGATTTATTGTGCAAATGTCACCCCGTTTGACATCATTCTGCACGGCGTTTCGCAGCTATTTTCAGTTCCCACACTGAGCTACTTTTGCTCGTCATTATGGCGCCCCTTGGGCGGTTCTCAGTATTGTTATACCCACTGCTCTCCCCGGCATGAATTGAATGTGATGAAAAGTTGTGTTTTACTTGTTCAACTCACTGCTTAGGTATTAAAACACGCTATCACTGGCCTGGCATTTCAAGGGTATTGCAGACCGAAGTCCTTAACCCGGCAGTTGCTGGGGTATTTCGCCACCCACCGTTTGCTGGGGGGGAGGGGGAGGGGGGCGTTAAACGCCCCCAGCCGATAACTCGAGAACCGATAGGCGCAGCGAAACGCACGAGGCGGCAAACGAAAGAACGCGACGAGACGCTTCAGATGAGTACTTTAAAGTTAACTTTTGAGGTCACAGGTCAGGTCAAGGTCAGGTCAAACACCTGAAATCGGGCTTTCAGTAGCATGGACTTCAGGACTTCGCAATGGGTGCCTCTCGTCATAAACTCTGTCGAAACGGTGCACAATCCATCATATAAGGCCTACAAGGGTGTCAGCTCCATGTAGGGGTCAGTCAAGCATAGGTCAGGGTCAAGGTCAGGTCAACCGGGTAGGCACCTATCCCCGAAAATCAAAACTGATATCCGCAGCCTGTGACACATGTTTTATGGGTAATTTGGGGCGTAGAACATGATGGTGACATTCATTTTATCATATGTGTACGTGTTTGGCTCAAAAAGTTCAATTTAATAAATGCATGTATCATGGTCGTGAAGTAGTCACGAGAAATTGCCAAGATTCAGTTCAAGATTTTGGAAAATTCGGAACAATGATCAATAATCGAAGATAGCCATTTGATTGTTCATAATATTGGCAGTCTAATGGCGTTTACGGCATGTCTGTATGTCTATTCTGTGATTTTATATGATTTTTTGAACATATGCCGTTTTTGGTCGAAAACTCAGAAATCATGACGTCACTAAAACCTCGATATCTCAAAAATTTTCCGACAAATTTTTTGAAACTTTGTCACAATAAACTTCAATCAATTCCCTACAGGTACCCAAAATTTGGCGCGCCTGCGGCGCGCCGTTTTTATGCTATGGCCCGGCGAAAAAAAGTGGGGGCGTTTAACGCCCCCCCCCCCCCCCAGCAACTCGCGGGTTAAGGAAGGCCTCATTCTGATCATGAACCAAATACTTCCGATGATACTGAGCCTCTGGTTTGTTCAAAGACACAAGTTGATGAAAATTGTAAGCCTATGCTGTGTACAGCTATTTCTGTACACAGCATAGGCTGTGTACAAAAATAACAGCTAGCTGTAGAGCTATTTCGCGAAAAACCTGCCGTGAAATCTACTTTTCATCGTGATCAGCGCCTTCCGGGGGATGCTGATGGTATCTCACGCCGCTCTGGAAACGTTGTCTGCTGCTGGCGTTGCCCAGAGATTACTCTAATCGCATATTGTCGCGTGAAATGCACTCACTGGAATTAATCTTCCAGATGACCACGCTTGTATACTGTTGGTCCCCCAGACCCTCACCACACTGCTCACTCGCCCTCCCCCCGCCCGCCCCTCAGGAGAAGGACTCGTGGTTCGAGCCACGCCAGGCCAAGTCGGCCAAGACGGAGACGATGACACAGTTCGTGCAGATGTGTCTGTTCCCGCGCTGCGTCTTCACCTCCATGGACGCGCTCTACTGCGCCGAGTTTGTGCGCACGCTGCACAGCCTGAAGACGCCCAACTTCTCCACGCTCATCTGCTACGACAGGGTAAGATGGTCCGCTTCTGGGCGGGGGGTACCTGTCCCAAGACACGGATTATCGTGTCCTTGGGATGATAGCATCTGCCTCTATTAGGAAGTCATATTTCTTTAAAATTTCATTTCATATTTTATGAATGTTCTATTTCTGGAGTCGCACTCTCCTTCGTTCTGTCTTGGCCCCTCTGAAACATGTGGGTAATCTAACAATATCAATCCGTGAAGATGGCCTATTCAAAACAGAAATATACGTACAGCCCTCTGCAAACTGCGTGGTAGGTATTCTTTTTTCGACAAAACCGAGAATATCGCGGATACTATGCTATCGGTCACTCGGAAATCGTAACAGCAAGACGCGCGAGACTCCGCACCTTAGATGAGCATTACCATCGTATTCATTTTCCATCCAGTTTGGCAACAATACCCAAAAGTTTATATTTGCCCCCAAAACAAACTGTTGCATTTTGTTGCCACACAAAGCATATACTTTGTTTAGTGCTAGACCCAATCGAAGGAGTGGAGCATGGTGCCTCTATTTGCAATGAATTCCGACCGACAGATCACATAGTCTTTGAGTTATTACCGGTTTTGTCGAAAAAAGAATACCTACCACGCAGTCTGCTGAGGGCTGTACAACTACAGTCAGTCTTGAAAATACCGCGCATTGGTGCGGTGGATCCATCGAGTCCCACCGAGAAAGGGCAGCTAAATTTGAGTCACCGAACCAATTGACCTGGGGGATGGATGAGGATGTCAATTGATTCAATGACTCAAACTTAGCAACCCTTCCTCGGTCGGGCTTGATGGATCCACCGCACCGATGCGCGATGCTTTCAAGACTGACTATACTATGGGAGCTACAGGCCTCACGAGGCCTCACCTTCTGGAATCCTTCAAAGTCGAAGTCACAGTGAACTATTTATAAACTGCGTGACCTGTAGCCCAGTTTTCACCGCCTCCCTGCCCGCCCCTCCCACGCAGCTGTTCTGCAACATCACCTACACGTTCACGTCGTGCACGGAGAACGAGGCGTCCCGCTACGGTCGCTTCCTGTGCGCCCTGCTCGAGACAGTGATGCACTGGCACGGCTCCAAAGAGGTGTTCGAGCGCGAGTGCGCCTTCTTCCCGGGTTTCGTCACCAAGTTCCGCGTGTCCAACAAACAGAACGAGCGCAGCGACCATGTCGACTACGAGAACTACCGCCATGTCTGCTTCAAGTGGTTCTACAAAATCACCAAGGTCAGTCAGCTGCGCTGACGTCATCGTGGCTCTGATTTTTTCTCTAGCCTTTGTGATATGTAGTATTTCAATTAATCTTGTATTACACATACATCATGTTCGATGTGCGTTCATGCTTGCTTAATCGTTTTGCAGGTGACCGTGACCTGCTACTAACCCGTTCCTAACTTACTGACCTTTACTGACCCTTGCTGACCTGTTCCTGACCCGCAGGCGATCGTGACCTGCCTGGACAGCCGCGAGTACGTGCAGATCCGGAACGCGCTCAAGATCCTCATCAAGATCCTGCCGTGCTACCCGGTGCTCAGCCACGTGGCCAACATCGTCGAGAAGAAGGTTGAGTCGGTACGTACTAGGGAAGTCATGGATAAGCCGATGCTCGTTACTCAGGCACGTAGCCAGGGGATTTTGCTCAGGGAGGGGACACAGGTCGCGGGCTAGGGTCGTACCCCCTCCAAAAAAAGAAAACTCGGATTTGGCCCACTATTTTTGGTGGTGTGGTGCAGCTATTTTTATCTATTTTTATTTTTTACTTAATTTTGTTTTATTTTTCGCCTTCCGGGGGGGGGGGGGCATGGCCCGTGCCCTCCCCCCCCCCCGTTGGCTACGTCCTTGTTACTCAGTTCACAGTCGGCGGCCTCTGCGCTCTGCGGAGCGGACACATAATGAACTGCACAGGCGATTGTGTTTCCTGCTCTGTAATGTATCAGCCGAATACCCCGAACTGATAACACCTTCATTTACCGTTTATTTCTCATCGTGATTAGTGAGGATGATATTATTTTTGCCGAATCTGTGAATAAGGCTGTTGCCTTTCAATGTAGGGTAACCAAGAAGGGATTGTAAGCGATTATCGGAGCATGCTTCGATGTTCTGCCGAATTGCGTCATCTGCTCCCAGAGGTTTGACCTCGTGACCTGACCCGCCCCGTCCGCTGCCCACAGGTGATCCAGGCCGAGAAGAACAAGCGCCAGGACCTGGCCATCATGGCCACCAGCTATGCGGGCCTGCTGCGCGCCCGCAAACACACCTACATCCCCGAGAAGGACTTCCACACGGTCGACAAGAGCAAGGCAAGTCCACGTCATGGGCGGGGGTGATTGGGTTTTCCATAGTATTGGGAGTTATGGGTCTGTGCCGCGGTCTTGAGAGCATGTTTAGCTGGTACTGCTGTATCCAGCGAGTGTTATCAAGTTCGTTGTAAAATGCTTAAACTGCCTGGGACATCATATTGTAATACCTTTCTTTAGTTGACCATAACAGCGATACGCAAGAAGTTTCAATTTGATCCTTCAGCTGCGTTTTCCATCGCTTTCTACTTACAGTGTTCGGATGTTAGCTTTTTAACTATGTCTAAACTGAAAAGATGACCGCCAGAACAGACCCTTTGTCCTCCATCGGCGCCCATTCTCACACCCACCCCGGCTCTCCTCACAGAAGGCCGCTCCGCCGGCGGCCGCCGCTGCTCCGGCCACCAAGGAGGCGACCAAGTCGACCAAGGGAGGGGAGGCGGCGCCTGCCGTGGCCAACGGCAGCGTCAAGCATGGTCAGTTGAAAGGCCGGCACCGGAGCTGGGTATTGGGTAGGGTCTGCTGCATTATGCATGCATGCGAAGGTGCTTCTGTGAGATGAATTCTGAATAGCCGACCATGGGGAAACAATATGATAAGGATTGAAGAACATGTTTTTTTTTCTAAGCATGCACATGAATGTGATTTGCCTGGGTTTTGATCTGTATTTCGGTCCTGCCTATATTCACAGAGCCGATGGACCAGGATCGGCCTTCGCCGCGCCAGGAGACGTCCTACCGGTCAAATGATCGTGACGAGAGCACTGAGCGGCGAGTCAAGAGGGAAAGTCGGGGTCGGGACCGGCCCAGAGAAGACGGGTAAGTGGGACTGGTCGGTCTAATCCGATACGCAAGCCGCCCCGCTCAGTTGTTTCCGTAGTGTAGTGGTTATCACGTCCGCTTCACACGCGGAAGGTCCCCGGTTCGATCCCGGGCGGGAACATCTTTTTCAACCTTGCGACCTCGCTGGGCGTTCGCATTGAAGTGGGACGAGGTCACCGTTGGACCTAAAGTTCTGGCCCGTCCAAATTAACATCGGTCGAAACACTGTTTGTTTTTGCTCTTCTATTTCATGCCCTGTTCACGCCCAATGAACGCAGAAACGTACCGACCGACACAGCGGACTGACCGGCCCCGTACCGTACCCACAGGGACCGCAGTCGGTCACAGACGCCGCGCTCGGACAGCACGCCCGTCTCGGGCCGGGAGCGGAAACACGACACGGAGGAGCGACGGGAGCGGAAGGCCGCCAAACGCAGTCCGCCAGACGACGAAATGGAGAGCAAGAAGGTAGGAGTGAGCAGAGTGATCACTCATTATTCCATCTGATTAGCGAAGACTGAGGGCTTGTTAATCCGTCTGAATTGAAACGTTTGGTGACATGCGTGGCTAGATTGTTTGTTGATTTTGTCGATACCCTCCTGGCTAGATTGTTTATTGATTTTGTCGATACTCTCCTGACACGTAAGTCAGGTCCCGGCCTCAGCAGATATTCGCCAAGGTGTCTTTATTGAACATTTTTCCTTCTTCTCTTCTTCTGTAGATATCGCACCGGGTGGAGCGGGAGTCTGACGAGATCCGTGTGGTGGAGGACGAGTACTTTGAGAAGCCGCGCCGTCCGCCGGCCTCCTCGTCCCGCTCCGCCTCCGAGGCCTCTGACGTCGACAGAGGTGAGAGGGCTACTATACATGAGCTGGTGGGAGACGGGAAGCTTGATCTTGGTTACATACATTATACAATGGTTATAGTAGGCTGGATTTTAGAAGGGAGATTGGGTTAGGATGAGTTCCTTTATGAATTGCAGACTCGCCTTTTTTACGCATGTCTTGTATTTATGTATGTGTGTATGTATTTACGATCATGGGCGATCCACACATGGCGTAGCGATTTGTCTTGCGTTAAGCTGCGGAAAGTATGCGTTTTAACACGTAACACTCATGATTGCGGTTGATAACTAGTAGTTATTTTTAGTGATGTGATCCATGGGTCACCGGTAGTATCTCGTCAGCTTTTTGCAGTGTATCCGTTTGTGACACCTCGCGTTCTGTCTGTTTCAGATGCCAAGCGGCGCCGAGTGGAAACTAAGGTTAGTATGATTGACGTGAGCTGATGGCCGCGGCCGGCTGCGGCCCGGCTGTGGCCGCCGTCGCCGCCGCCGGCCGTCACGCGCCGCTCAGGGGGTGTCGCCGCCGGGCGCGACGGCAGCACCGCCGCCGCAGCCACCACCATCGTCGAAGTCACCACAGCAGCAGGATTCGGCAGGGATCCAAGAAACAACATCGTCGTCATCGTCACCGCGGCCACCGTCACTGTCGGCCTGACATCCTCAATCCCTGCTGCTGTCGAGTCGGGCGGATGCCGCACCGGCTCAGCGCGACCGAGCGTGAGAAAGAGAGAGGGAGAATCCGTGAGAGAGGAGGCGTCAGCGGTGTGTAAGAGAGGTGCCGCGCGGTAGTGAGATGGACAGAGTGCTGGGAGAGCGGCAGAGTGCGAGAGGAGGCAGCGGACGCCGAAGTCTGCCAAATGGAAGATGAAGGAAAAAGCGTTCATGCGGTTAGTTCAAAATGGCGAGGTGTGCTATTCGAGCCGTTGCTCGATCGCTAAATGAAGTGAATTGAGAACATTCTTCTTTCGGCTGTGATACGAGATCTTTCTTCTGGTGTGGTTGGGGGCGGCGAATATGCCCCAGATGGCTCAAAGAGCCGAACTCTTGTTAGTTTTTGTCGCGCCCCTGTCCTTGGCGCTGGCGATCAATGCATCCTTCCCAGAGAGATTTCTGGTGGAGCAAGGCATAAGTTTTTGTACAAAGAATGTGCTGAGGAGCAAATATTCTTCAGAATGTGTTAGTTCAAAGTGCTCTCAGGAATACCCCGGTCATCTTCTTCACGAAGCGTGCCTCCATTGTGAGATGTTTGTCCGTCGGTGCATGCCGATTACTCCGTGGCCAGCGCTGCCGGTGGGTGCGTGTCCGCCGGCGCCCTCTACCGTCTCGGGTTCGTCCATCTCGACTCCATTCGTCCGGTATGGCGTCTCTCCTTGTTCTATGAGGCATGGCTATTCGTGCCAGGAGAAGCCAGGCAATCGTGCTGGTGTCCGTATTGGACCACAAGACATCGGAGAAGCTCCATCTGCGCCGTGGTTTCTCTCGCAGTACCGCGGAAGAAGGCTATCCGCGTGGGTGCTGGCGGCTCCGACAGGGAATCAAGAGCGCTGCATGCAGCTCTGAGTGCTCCATACGCCTTGCTGGGCCCTCTGAAATGGGCGAAAATGTTCCTCGAGGTATCGGGCGTCATGTTGAAGCGCCATGAAGATCGCAGTTGCTCTGGAAGGCGCTGTAAATGAGCTGATCTGCTACCTGTCGATGGGAGTTAAACGGACCACCTTGTCAACACCACGCTTGTGTGTCGCTTCTGCATCTGCTAACCTGGCGAAAGAAAAAAAACACGTCTGAGGAACAAGACGAACAAGATGCCACTGCAAGTCAGGCGTCAAACTCTGGAGAGTGCCAGTAATTCAACAGAAAGCCGCTCACTCTGTTCAACTCAGAAGTCCATCAAAACGCCAAATCAACACCAATCGTCTCCAATCTGTCTGGAGTCAGCACAGTGCGCGCTCAATCAGCGCAGGAGTCATCGAACAGCACTGTGGCGGCCGGCCACCGCGCGGCGCGTGGCGCGCGATCTATCCCATGAGTGGTGGCTCGGCACCGCCAGTCTGCTGTCACAGGTATTGTACAGCGCCCGACCCATCCTCAGCCCGGTCCCTGTCCTTTGTCCTGTTCCATCCCTTCCGGAGGGCTCTGGGGCCCACCTCCAATGCACTATCTTTGAGCCGTAGATGTGTCTGTCGTCGCTCAGTATGCAGCTTTAGTGGTACTGTCAGTGCCGATTGTATGCTTACTTTTGAGGCAGAGAGCTTGGCTGGCTTCCCACGATGTTTCTCGTGTCTAGTGGTGTAACGGTTGTGGGGTTAGATTGCTAGTGATGAGGGGCCGGACGCCACGAATTGGGGTAAGACGCACTGCTCTATTTGATTGCAGAGGTCCGCCGAAAAGGCTCCCGAAAAGGACGAGGAGAAGAAAAAGAAGAGGAAGAAGGCCGACAAAGGGTTGGAGGAAGGAGAGATCAGAAACAAGCGGGAAGAAAAGAAAGATAGGAAGCGGGTAAATCAATGGTTTGGTCGCTTACAGAACATCGCTCCCTCATTATATTGATCGGTCTTTTATGCGATATTTACGTGATCCTTTTTATTTGAGAAGTCACCGGTGACAGATTATTTCTTAAAGCATCTTTTAATCTATTTTTATCAACTACGTAATAATTAGCTATTTTAACTCATCTATTTATTGGAAATTTGATTTGATTTGTTTCTTTAGTAACTTCTTCGTCGCTTGATTTGTTTTATTCGACTCTGTCTGCGAAACAGGCGACCGCTAGCGACAGAGACGTCTCTCCAGTCGACCTGAAGCGCAAGCTCAAAGAAGAGGAGAAAGCCGGTGAGTTTAGTGAGCATTATCACACGCAACTGACGATCCATATCTGATAGAGTTGCGCTTCGATACCGTCCATTAAAATGGCCGAGGCGCAGTCCCAGTCTCTTGCCTTTCAGTACCTATGCCGCGAATAAGTCTTGAAGACATTAGTACATCGTGAGCTTGTTGAATTTCTCGCGCCGATAATATTGTAAGTTGGAAATCACAAACCCTCAAATAATCATGTAACGGAAGTTGGCACAGATTCAGCACAGATTTAGCACAGCACAGATTCGGTAGGGGGAAAAAAGGCCCCGGTAGAGGGAAACCTTTATGACCCGTTTTCCCCTAGAAATGACGTCACAAAGAGGTAAAAATGGGTATCAATCGAAAGCTCTCGTTTACCCAGACACAGTCCTGCAGGAAAATTCCACTTTTTCCCCATAGCAAAGTTTTTACGGGAAAATCAAAATTTTGGGTCAATGGGGGGTCCCCCCCGATTTCGTTCAAAATCGGCACACAGGTGCCCCACCACCAGCCGAGAAACTTTCCCCAAAACGGTCCCCGTTGCATTGACGTTTAAGGCCCGTAAAGCCCCCTAGACTCGTAAAATATCCGTAAAATCGCCTTTGTACGGACAAAAAAGTGGTGCTATGGTAAAAATGGGTATCAATCGAAAGCTCTCGTTTACCCAGACACAGTCCTGCAGGAAAATTCCACTTTTTCCCCATAGGAAAGTTTTTACGGGAAAATCAAAATTTTGGGTCAATGGGGGGTCCCCCCCGATTTCGTTCAAAATCGGCACACAGGTGCCCCACCACCAGCCGAGAAACTTTCCCCAAAACGGTCCCCGTTGCATTGACGTTTAAGGCCCGTAAAGCCCCCTAGACTCGTAAAATATCCGTAAAATCGCCTTTGTACGGACAAAAAAGTGGTGCTATGGTAAAAATGGGTATCAATCGAAAGCTCTCGTTTACCCAGACACAGTCCTGCAGGAAGATTCCACTTTTTCCCCATAGGAAAGGTTTTACAGGAAAATCAAAATTTTGGGTCAATGGGGGGTCCCCCCCGATTTCGTTCAAAATCGGCACACAGGTGCCCCACCACCAGCCGAGAAACTTTCCCCAAAACGGTCCCCGTTGCATTGACGTTTAAGGCCCGTAAAGCCCCCTAGACTCGTAAAATATCCGTAAAATCGCCTTTGTACGGACAAAAAAGTGGTGCTATGGTAAAAATGGGTATCAATCGAAAGCTCTCGTTTACCCAGACACAGTCCTGCAGGAAAATTTCACTTTTTCCCCATAAGAAAGTTTTTACGGGAAAATCAAAATTTTGGGTCAATGGGGGGTCCCCCCCCCCCGATTTCGTTCAAAATCGGCACACAGGTGCCCCACCACCAGCCGAGAAACTTTCCCCAAAACGGCCCCCGTTGCATTGACGTTTAAGGCCCGTAAAGCCCCCTAGACTCGTAAAATATCCGTAAAATCGCCTTTGTACGGACAAAAAAGTGGTGCTATGGTAAAAAATGGGTATCAAGCGAAAGCTCTCGTTTACCCAGACACAGTCCTGCAGGAAAATTCCACTTTTTTCCCATAGGAAAGTTTTTACGGGAAAATCAAAATTTTGGGTCAATGGGGGGTCCCCCCCGATTTCGTTCAAAATGGGCACACAGGTGCCCCACCACCAGCCGAGAAACTTTCCCCAAAACGGTCCCCGTTGCATTGACGTTTAAGGCCCGTAAAGCCCCCTAGACTCGTAAAATATCCGTAAAATCGCCTTTGTACGGACAAAAAAGTGGTGCTATGGTAAAAATGGGTATCAATCGAAAGCTCTCGTTTACCCAGACACAGCCCTGCAGGAAAATTCCACTTTTTCCCCATAGGAAAGTTTTTACGGGAAAATCAAAATTTTGGGTCAATGGGGGGTCCCCCCCGATTTCGTTCAAAATCGGCACACAGGTGCCCCACCACCAGCCGAGAAACTTTCCCCAAAACGGTCCCGTTGCATTGACGTTTAAGGCCCGTAAAGCCCCCTAGACTCGTAAAATATCCGTAAAATCGCCTTTGTACGGACAAAAAACTGGTGCTATGGTAAAAATGGGTATCAATCGAAAGCCCTCGTTTACCCAGACACAGTCCTGTAGGAAGATTCCACTTTTTCCCCATAGGAAAGTTTTTACGGGAAAATCAAAATTTTGGGTCAATGGGGGGGTCCCCCCCGATTTCGTTCAAAATCGGCACACAGGTGCCCCACCACCAGCCGAGAAACTTTCCCCAAAACGGTCCCCGTTGCATTGACGTTTAAGGCCCGTAAAGCCCCCTAGACTCGTAAAATATCCGTAAAATCGCCTTTGTACGGACAAAAAAGTGGTGCTATGGTAAAAATGGGTATCAATCGAAAGCTCTCGTTTACCCAGACACAGTCCTGCAGGAAAATTTCACTTTTTCCCCATAGGAAAGTTTTTACGGGAAAATCAAAATTTTGGGTCAATGGGGGGTCCCCCCCGATTTCGTTCAAAATCGGCACACAGGTGCCCCACCACCAGCCGAGAAACTTTCCCCCAAACGGCCCCCGTTGCATTGACGTTTAAGGCCCGTAAAGCCCCCTAGACTCGTAAAATATCCGTAAAATCGCCTTTGTACGGACAAAAAAGTGGTGCTATGGTAAAAATGGGTATCAATCGAAAGCTCTCGTTTACCCAGACACAGTCCTGCAGGAAAATTCCACTTTTTCCCCATAGGAAAGTTTTTACGGGAAAATCAAAATTTTGGGTCAATGGGGGGTCCCCCCCGATTTCGTTCAAAATCGGCACACAGGTGCCCCACCACCAGCCGAGAAAGTTTCCCCAAAACGGTCCCCGTTGCATTGACGTTTAAGGCCCGTAAAGCCCCCTAGACTCGTAAAATATCCGTAAAATCGCCTTTGTACGGACAAAAAAGTGGTGCTATGGTAAAAATGGGTATCAATCGAAAGCTCTCGTTTACCCAGACACAGTCCTGTAGGAAAATTCCACTTTTTCCCCATAGGAAAGTTTTTACGGGAAAATCAAAATTTTGGGTCAATAAGGGGTCCCCCCCGATTTCGTTCAAAATCGGCACACAGGTGCCCCACCACCCGCCGAGAAACTTTCCCCAAAACGGTCCCCGTTGCATTGACGTTTAAGGCCCGTAAAGCCCCCTAGACTCGTAAAATATCCGTAAAATCGCCTTTGTACGGACAAAAAAGTGGTGTTATGGTAAAAATGTGTATCAATCGAAAGCTCTCGTTTACCCAGACACAGCCCTGCAGGAAAATTTAACTTTTTCCCCATAGGAAAGTTTGTACGGGAAAATCATAATTTTGGGTCAATGGGGGTCCCCCGATTTCGTTCAAAATCAGCACACAGGTGCCGATATTTTACGGATTTATTTTAAGGATTTTACGGATATTTTACGAGTCTAGGGGGCTTTACGGGCCTTAAACGTCAATGCAACGGGGACCGTTTTGGGGAAAGTTTCTCGGCTGGTGGTGGGGCACCTGTGTGCCGATTTTGAACGAAATCGGGGGGGACCCCCCATTGACCCAAAATTTTGATTTTCCCGTAAAAACTTTCCTATGGGGAAAAAGTGGAATTTTCCTGCAGGACTGTGTCTGGGTAAACGAGAGCTTTCGATTGATACCCATTTTTACCATAGCACCACTTTTTTGTCCGTACAAAGGCGATTTTACGGATATTTTACGAGTCTAGGGGGCTTTACGGGCCTTAAACGTCAATGCAACGGGGACCGTTTTGGGGAAAGTTTCTCGGCGGGTGGTGGGGCACCTGTGTGCCGATTTTGAACGAAATCGGGGGGGACCCCCTATTGACCCAAAATTTTGATTTTCCCGTAAAAACTTTCCTATGGGGAAAAAGTGGAATTTTCCTGCAGGACTGTGTCTGGGTAAACGAGAGCTTTCGATTGATACCCATTTTTACCATAGCACCACTTTTTTGTCCGTACAAAGGCGATTTTACGGATATTTTACGAGTCTAGGGGGCTTTACGGGCCTTAAACGTCAATGCAACGGGGACTGTTTTGGGGAAAGTTTCTCGGCTGGTGGTGGGGCACCTGTGTGCCGATTTTGAACGAAATCGGGGGGGACCCCCCATTGACCCAAAATTTTGATTTTCCCGTAAAAACTTTCCTATGGGGAAAAAGTGGAATTTTCCTGCAGGACTGTGTCTGGGTAAACGAGAGCTTTCGATTGATACCCATTTTTACCATAGCACCACTTTTTTGTCCGTACAAAGGCGATTTTACGGATATTTTACGAGTCTAGGGGGCTTTACGGGCCTTAAACGTCAATGCAACGGGGACCGTTTTGGGGAAAGTTTCTCGGCTGGTGGTGGGGCACCTGTGTGCCGATTTTGAACGAAATCGGGGGGACCCCCCATTGACCCAAAATTTTGATTTTCCCGTAAAAAACTTTCCTATGGGGAAAAAGTGGAATTTTCCTGCAGGACTGTGTCTGGGTAAAGGAGAGCTTTCGATTGATACGCATTTTTACCATAGCACCACTTTTTTGTCCGTACAAAGGCGATTTTACGGATATTTTACGAGTCTAGGGGGCTTTACGGGCCTTAAACGTCAATGCAACGGGGACCGTTTTGGGGAAAGTTTCTCGGCTGGTGGTGGGGCACCTGTGTGCCGATTTTGAACGAAATCGGGGGGGACCCCCCATTGATCCAAAATTTTGATTTTCCCGTAAAAACTTTCCTATGGGGAAAAGTGAAATTTTCCTGCAGGACTGTGTCTGGGTAAACGAGAGCTTTCGATTGATACCCATTTTTACCATAGCACCACTTTTTTGTCCGTACAAAGGCGATTTTACGGATATTTTACGAGTCTAGGGGGCTTTACGGGCCTTAAACGTCAATGCAACGGGGACCGTTTTGGGGAAAGTTTCTCGGCTGGTGGTGGGGCACCTGTGTGCCGATTTTGAACGAAATCGGGGGGACCCCCCATTGACCCAAAATTTTGATTTTCCCGTAAAAACTTTCCTATGAGAAAAAAGTGAAATTTTCCTGCAGGACTGTGTCTGGGTAAACGAGAGCTTTCGATTGATACCCATTTTTACCATAGCACCACTTTTTTGTCCGTACAAAGGCGATTTTACGGATATTTTACGAGTCTAGGGGGCTTTACGGGCCTTAAACGTCAATGCAACGGGAACCGTTTTGGGGAAAGTTTCTCGGCTGGTGGTGGGGCACCTGTGTGCCGATTTTGAACGAAATCGGGGGGGACCCCCCATTGACCCAAAATTTTGATTTTCCCGTACAAACTTTCCTATGGGGAAAAAGTGGAATTTTTCTGCAGGACTGTGTCTGGGTAAACGAGAGCTTTCGATTGATACCCATTTTTACCATAGCACCACTTTTTTGTCCGTACAAAGGCGATTTTACGGATATTTTACGAGTCTAGGGGGCTTTACGGGCCTTAAACGTCAATGCAACGGTGACCGTTTTGGGGAAAGTTTCTCGGCTGGTGGTGGGGCACCTGTGTGCCGATTTTGAACGAAATCGGGGGGGACCCCCCATTGACCCAAAATTTTGATTTTCCCGTAAAAACTTTCCTATGGGGAAAAAGTGGAATTTTCCTGCAGGACTGTGTCTGGGTAAACGAGAGCTTTCGATTGATACCCATTTTTACCATAGCACCACTTTTTTGTCCGTACAAAAGCGATTTTACGGATATTTTACGAGTCTAGGGGGCTTTACGGGCCTTAAACATCAATGCAACGGGGACCGTTTTAGGGAAAGTTTCTCGGCTGGTGGTGGGGCACCTGTGTGCCGATTTTGAACGAAATCGGGGGGGACCCCCCATTGACCCAAAATTTTGATTTTCCCGTAAAAACTTTCCTATGGGGAAAAAGTGGAATTTTCCTGCAGGACTGTGTCTGGGTAAACGAGAGCTTTCGATTGATACCCATTTATACCATAGCACCACTTTTTTGTCCGTACAAAGGCGATTTTACGGATATTTTACGAATCTAGGGGGCTTTACGGGCCTTAAACGTCAATGCAACGGGGACCGTTTTGGGGAAAGTTTCTCGGCTGGTGGTGGGGCACCTGTGTGCCGATTTTGAACGAAATCGGGGGGGACCCCCCATTGATCCAAAATTTTGATTTTCCCGTAAAAACTTTCCTATGGGGAAAAAGTGAAATTTTCCTGCAGGACTGTGTCTGGGTAAACGAGAGCTTTCGATTGATACCCATTTTTACCATAGCACCACTTTTTTGTCCGTACAAAGGCGATTTTACGGATATTTTACGAGTCTAGGGGGCTTTACGGGCCTTAAACGTCAATGCAACGGGGACCGTTTTGGGGAAAGTTTCTCGGCTGGTGGTGGGGCACCTGTGTGCCGATTTTGAACGAAATCGGGGGGGACCCCCCATTGACCCAAAATTTTGATTTTCCCGTAAAAACTTTCCTATGGGGAAAAAGTGGAATTTTCCTGCAGGACTGTGTCTGGGTAAACGAGAGCTTTCGATTGATACCCATTTTTACCATAGCACCACTTTTTTGTCCGTACAAAGGCGATTTTACGGATATTTTACGAGTCTAGGGGGCTTTACGGGCCTTAAACGTCAATGCAACGGGGACCGTTTTGGGGAAAGTTTCTCGGCTGGTGGTGGGGCACCTGTGTGCCGATTTTGAACGAAATCGGGGGAGACCCCCCATTGACCCAAAATTTTGATTTTCCCGTAAAAACTTTCCTATGGGGAAAAAGTGGAATTTTCCTGCAGGACTGTGTCTGGGTAAACGAGAGCTTTCGATTGATACCCATTTTTACCATAGCACCACTTTTTTGTCCGTACAAAGGCGATTTTACGGATATTTTACGAGTCTAGGGGGCTTTACGGGCCTTAAACGTCAATGCAACGGGGACCGTTTTGGGGAAAGTTTCTCGGCTGGTGGTGGGGCACCTGTGTGCCGATTTTGAACGAAATCGGGGGGGACCCCCCATTGACCCAAAATTTTGATTTTCCCGTAAAAACTTTCCTATGGGGAAAAAGTGGAATTTTCCTGCAGGACTGTGTCTGGGTAAACGAGAGCTTTCGATTGATACCCATTTTTACCATAGCACCACTTTTTTGTCCGTACAAAGGCGATTTTACGGATATTTTACGAGTCTAGGGGGCTTTACGGGCCTTAAACGTCAATGCAACGGGGACCGTTTTGGGGAAAGTTTCTCGGCGGGTGGTGGGGCACCTGTGTGCCGATTTTGAACGAAATCGGGGGGACCCCCTATTGACCCAAAATTTTGATTTTCCCGTAAAAACTTTCCTATGAGAAAAAAGTGAAATTTTCCTGCAGGACTGTGTCTGGGTAAACGAGAGCTTTCGATTGATACCCATTTTTACCATAGCACCACTTTTTTGTCCGTACAAAGGCGATTTTACGGATATTTTACGAGTCTAGGGGGCTTTACGGGCCTTAAACGTCAATGCAACGGGAACCGTTTTGGGGAAAGTTTCTCGGCTGGTGGTGGGGCACCTGTGTGCCGATTTTGAACGAAATCGGGGGGACCCCCCATTGACCCAAAATTTTGATTTTCCCGTACAAACTTTCCTATGGGGAAAAAGTGGAATTTTCCTGCAGGACTGTGTCTGGGTAAACGAGAGCTTTCGATTGATACCCATTTTTACCATAGCACCACTTTTTTGTCCGTACAAAGGCGATTTTACGGATATTTTACGAGTCTAGGGGGCTTTACGGGCCTTAAACGTCAATGCAACGGTGACCGTTTTGGGGAAAGTTTCTCGGCTGGTGGTGGGGCACCTGTGTGCCGATTTTGAACGAAATCGGGGGGGACCCCCCATTGACCCAAAATTTTGATTTTCCCGTAAAAACTTTCCTATGGGGAAAGAGTGGAATTTTCCTGCAGGACTGTGTCTGGGTAAACGAGAGCTTTCGATTGATACCCATTTTTACCATAGCACCACTTTTTTGTCCGTACAAAAGCGATTTTACGGATATTTTACGAGTCTAGGGGGCTTTACGGGCCTTAAACGTCAATGCAACGGGGACCGTTTTGGGGAAAGTTTCTCGGCTGGTGGTGGGGCACCTGTGTGCCGATTTTGAACGAAATCGGGGGGGACCCCCCATTGACCCAAAATTTTGATTTTCCCGTAAAAACTTTCCTATGGGGAAAAAGTGGAATTTTCCTGCAGGACTGTGTCTGGGTAAACGAGAGCTTTCGATTGATACCCATTTATACCATAGCACCACTTTTTTGTCCGTACAAAGGCGATTTTACGGATATTTTACGAGTCTAGGGGGCTTTACGGGCCTTAAACGTCAATGCAACGGGGACCGTTTTGGGGAAAGTTTCTCGGCTGGTGTTGGGGCACCTGTGTGCCGATTTTGAACGAAATCGGGGGGGACCCCCCATTGACCCAAAATTTTGATTTTCCCGTAAAAACTTTCCTATGGGGAAAAAGTGAAATTTTCTTGCAGGACTGTGTCTGGGTAAACGAGAGCTTTCGATTGATACCCATTTTTACCTCTTTGTGACGTCATTTCTAGGGGAAAACGGGTCATAAAGGTTTCCCTCTACCGGGGCCTTTTTCCCCCTACCGAATCTGTGCTGTGCTGAATCTGTGCTGAATCTGTGCCAACTTCCGTTACATCAAATAATCGTCATTACTTAAATTGTCCAGCATTTTAAATGCAGAAGCATGTATTTTCCCATATTTTGTTAGGTGGCTTGAGAAGTCCGAGTCGCTTTGTTCGGGATGCTTTGTGATTGCTGCTTGTTAGTTGAACAGATTCGTGACACTCATAGATGCTCTGGTAGCGTAGATGCATTCGTAGAGATTGCTTCGTCGAAGGTGAAACTATCCAGCGACCATCAATATACCCGCGGTGGTAACTGGCGAGCCTTTGAGATGTCAAGCTTCGGCAGTTTGTTTATGTGAAAACAGAAATCCCTCTGTAAAGTTAGTAGAGTAAAGTTACGTAGCTGATGTGGTCTGAATGTATGAACGTAGCAGCGTAGATGTCGGGGCAGTCAATCGCGGTTGGCGTCTCGGCTGTGCTGTTTATGACTATGTTGCGCCAAGCGGGCGGTGTGCGCTCACAGTAAACTGCTTGTGTGTTCACTTCACTGTCTTGTTTTTCACAGCCAAGCGGGTGATTTGTGTGAGCAGCTCACAGTACTGTTTTGTGTTTACGCTGTACTGTCTGTGTGTCCACAGCCAAGCGGCGCTCGGAGGGCGAGGTCGAGTACAGAGAGGTCAAGGAGAAAAGACGAACACGGGTGAGTTATGGCGTCCTAACCATGAGTATCCCATTCTGTCCTCTGACTGTCGTTTGTTCTGTGTGACCTGGCACTCGAAGATCTGGAGCCCATCACTCAAATGTGATGGTTTTGCCTGATCCTGACGGTCGTCTTGCAGTTTTAGCGTTGGGAAAGCATCTGAAAACTCGGTATATTCTGACTAAATTTGTCTAACTTTGTCCTCTCCTAACGACAGTGTACCGTCTCCCGTCTGTCTGTAATTTACCGTCTCCCGATGGTTGAGCGTATGCATTTTCTGCTCGGCGGGAGAGTCTCCCGCTGGGTCCCGCAGGGTCTGACCCTGCCGATTGCTGGCTGGCCAGTTTGGGCAGTGTACTAACTCATGAAATTCAGTCTGATCCTGTCTGGTGACGTAACCGCGCTCAAAGACGACTTAGCGTGTTTTCAGACATTGGCACATCAATCGATCAGCGTTTAATGCGAGCAAAAATGTCATGACACAACATATCTTTGCTTACTGATTAGCCGGCTTTGGTTTTGAGCAGCAGTTGCAATCTTGTTGGTATTTATGGGAGTGGCTTTGTAGTAGCTGGCTGTGCGCAACGCTTACTCCGGTGACAGGCGACCCAGAGCTGGATGATCTGTCGCTGGTCCCAGCCCATCCCTTCGTGTTCTGCCCGGTCCTCCCCGACCTGTCTCCACATATCCTCCCATCCCACCCAGCTGTGCCCCGTCCTGTTCGCCCGTCCCGTCCGCGATCCTGCCCCGTCCCGTCTCGTCCCGTCCGTCTATCCAGCTGGTCACGGGTCGGTCGGTTGTGGTGAAACGACTGGTCGGTGGAGCCAGTCCCGCTGTCACTGTCCCGGGTCAGCCGTGCTGTCGTACAGGCTGGGGGAGCGGCCACATCCTGACCTGGCTAAACAGACGGAGCTGTTCAAACCGAGAATTTCTTCATCTGCATTACTCCGGCTTACTCTGTTTGCGGTGACACGTTCTCTTGTTCATCTATTAACCCGCGCGGGGCTGGGGTCTCCAGCCGAACGCGCGGGGCTGGGGGGGGTAAATTTTACCCCCCCCCTGTTATCTCCCGAACTAATGGTCCGATTTGGAAAATTCAAACGCCAATCGAAAGCCCTCGTCACGAACTACTAAAAACATGTACTTAATTTAAAGTTTGAGGTCAAGGTCAAGGTCAGGTCAAGGGTACAAATTGCAAGTTTCTACAGTATCGGCCTTGCACCGTAGTTGCCGAAGAATGGAGTCATGGACTGAGACTGATCGCCCAAAACGTGTTCTTAGGCTACCAAGACAATATTCGTTGCATACAATATCATTCAGAGGTCAAGGTCAAGGTCAGGTCAGGTCAGGTCAGGTCACCAAAAAACAAAATATAGAAAAGGGCATGTGCGGCACATGTTTTATGGGTCATTTTACTCATAGAATTCAATAGGCACACTCAATAAGTGATATGGACCACCTCTGGATGAATTTCAGGTCGAGGTCAGGTCAAGGTCAGGTCAAGTGAGGTCAAATTTTGAAGTTGGTTGTTAAGGCCTAAAAAGGTGTCTATCTGATGCAGTTTTTCACGGCGAATCGAATGGTGCTATTTTTGTTTCCGTACGAGGTCTAGAACTTCCAAAAAAGTCATTTTTCAAAAATTTTGTGTGTCGTGACGTCATAAAATTTTGAATAACTCCCACATTTTTTAACCGATTCTTCTAAAATTTGGTATGTAGGTGCACATAGACCACGTCTCTGACATATATTCCGGTTTTTTCGATAGACTCAAAATTTTGGATTTTATAATGATTTTCCCAAAAAAGTCAGTTTTTTGAAAAAAAATTAGGCCAAAATCCAAAATATTCAAAAAACCGAGATAGCCATTTGATAGACAAAGTAAAATTACGTATAACCTTTTTTGTTACGTCTTGATTCCTTTAAAAATGAAGATGTTAGCGGCGTTTGAACTTTTGCCGTTTTTGAGGCGAAAATGGCGAACATGACGTCACTAAAACGTCAATTTCTCAAAAATTTTCCGACGGATTTCGCTCAAATTTTCAGGGAACGTGTCAAATTGATGTAAGAAAAGGTACTGAAAGTTTGGCGGCGCTGCGCGCCGCCGTTTTTGAGATATCGCAAACATTCGCGAGGGGGGGTAAAATTTACCCCCCCCAGCCCCGCGCGGGTTAATGACCGTTAACACTGTTCACTGATGATTATCGACGCTACCCACTCCGACGCCTGTCCTCTGTAGTATCCGATCCACTGATACCTTGTCTACTTTGGCGTCTGTCCTGGTCTGACACCCGTCCACTGTGTGTACTCTGGCCATCCATCTATCCATAATGACTGTCTGTCCGCCTCAGACTGTTCCGCTTTGTCACTGAGGTCTCAGGCCTGCCAAGTGTCCACTCTTTCCACTTTGGCGTATGTCGACTATGTAAGTAACTATGTAAGTTATGTATATCTACTGACTCTCTGTCCATTTTCCACAGCGTGAGGAGGAGGTGGAGTACTATGACGAGCCTCTGCCTCGGTACGCCGCTGACGACTACGACTGGGAACGAGAGCGACCCGTCAAGGACAAACAATATCCTTTACTACAGCAACGGAGAGACGCTGGGCTCTAGTGGGACTGTGGAACGATGCATCGGGATGGACATAGGTGACAATCGGGTTTTGATATGCATAAAATGCTACGTAAATGAAATAGCACCCCACATTTTGCACTTTACTACTTGAGGCTGTGTCTCGCATAGTTAATCGATGAAATGAGTTACATGGACCCGAGTATGACCACTTGCTTTTCATTCTAAATGCATGGCGTTAGCTGCTTTCGTGATGAAATCCTTTTAATCTCCCATATTGTGCAAAGATGTAATGCGGCCCTGGTGAAAGTCACGCGTGCAACTTTGATATCGGCGATGTAACTATTTTTAGAGTCTGTATTGCACTGTTCTGACACTGTACGTTCTTGCCGGCCTTGGCTTTGCCTGCACTACATTGTGTGAGGCACATCGCGTTCGCTTCAGTTTCGTCAGCTGTGATTTTGGAACCGCTGGCATTCCTCGATATCACTGTATTTCAGGGTTTATCCTGTCCTCACTTACCAGTCATTCTCCCGACTTTCACTCAGCACTGTGTCTATGCAAGCGCATGCCTGTGTCCATCTATGCTCGCAGTCATTTTCCTTAACCGCGCTGCACTAGGGGCCGTCTGGACACAAAGCGACGCTGATGCTGATCCAGCTGCCATCGATGCCTGTATTTCGTGGCGGCGGCGAAGCTGGCGCAATTGGGACAGATCCTGCGCAGGTGCGGTAGGCGTGGGCTGACCGACCGAGGACTGCCGAGGCGCATTGCTAGCTGTTCCTGCCCACCCGGCGAATGCCATGGAAGTGAATTAGACGATACCGGGCCTTGGAATGACCTGGCAGTGACTGAGTGGTCGCACTAAACCTGACTGCGGCCGGCGGACCGGCGGACCGAGTCAGATGGTGGTAGCCCATGTGGTAGAACTTTGACTGAGGACTGGCGCCTGGGGTGGCCTGCTGGTCAGGCCTGTAATCGGATGTACTGGACGGCGGTGGTATGGCCGACGTGACGATAGAGAGCTGACGGCGGACACCACAAACCAATGCACGCTGAGCTGTGGAGAGCGCCGCTGAACATCGTGTTAATAATGCAGTTCATTGTGAATATACCGGGACATGTGAGCTATGTGTTTGGTGCCGTGAAATTGAGGCAGAGACGTGGCATGTCGGACGTCGGTCCGTAACAGTGACTCAACGGACAAGCGAGGGCTAACAGCAGTGGTGGTCGATTCGACCCGTGCTTTCGGCATATTGCTTCAGACTGATCTTAACAATCCGTTCGGTCCTGTTTGGAGCACATGATAGGTCATGGGATTTTTGGTATGCACCAGTATTTTACAATGCACTGTACCAGTTGCAAGTCGGATTTAAAACTTGCTCTCTTCCTGTCACGAAGGTTTGTTCCGGTTAATGTTTGGCAATCGACTAGATTCATGCAACACAGATAATACATGAACATGGTGCAACTGGAAGAACATCCTTTGCATTATTGTGGTGTCAAAAACATATTTTTCGCGGAAGATGTTTGGTTGCAAGTTTCCTTCAAGATAAAAATGTGTATCAAGTCTGGCTCTGTCAGCATTCATCAGTCGAAATAGGCGTTCAGACTATACGACCGAATTATTGGGTGTGATTAAAACAAATAGACCCCGGTCGAGCTTCAGATTAATGTCTCTGTAGTTGGTGTTATCTGTGGACCGCGTAAGATCGATCGATCATATTTATACCTGCGGGCTTTAGATACCTACATACCAATCGCCGATATTTTGTTCATCTCCTCATCACCTAGTCTCGGCAGTCGACAGATTTGACACGTGTCCACGACACCTTACATCTCCACTAATTGAGTGTCCATTGTACACCGTCCATCGACCAGTGGTCTGCTCACTACCCAACCCAGAAGTGAGGCAACTGAACAGGCGCTCTGGCGCAACCCGCCGGACTTGCTGAAATCTCAGCACAGCGCCGGACCGGCGCGGCGGAGATTTTTGAAACCTGCCTGCTAAGTGTCGTTTCGCGTAGAGGCGAACCGCCGCTCGCTGTGCCGGTTGGGCAGGTTTTGCTTAACGGGGGGGGGGGGAGACGGGACGAGATAGAGAGTGAGAGTGCGCTCTCCGGTCGCGGCGACGGCTTCATTCCGAGTCTCGGGTACGGGGCCGAGTCAAGGCCGTAAGAAACGGATGCACGTGCGTAACCCATCACTCAAACGCGCATAGTTCGGCGCGTAAGTGACTATGAATGGCGAGTAGTGACGTCTTTCAGGAGACGTAGTGTCGTAAGTCCCCACCCCCACCCCACCCCACCCCCCAGATGGATTATCAACACCTCTGTCATACGAAGACTCGAGCTGACGGCGAAAGCTACAACGCACTTCTTAAGTCCAGGAACCCTCGGGAGCTTTGGCTCGCGCGAAAATGAAGGGGATGGCGTTTTCCTGCGCACGAACGAATATTGCTTTTGATCACTTCACGTAACGTCACCGGGTCAAATGAAGTAGCTTCACTTCAAGAAAAATGAAATATTCACCCTATGCTAAGACGATAGAGACATTGTTTTGAAACATTCAATACCTAATTCGTAGGTGTGGCAGATGTAAGAAACGTTTATTTAGTATTTTCGCTTATACATGACCTAGGGTCAGGTCAGCTTGGTGACCTCACGAGCCACTGATGAAAAGTCGTCCCGACAGACAACGCTTCAGCATGCTGTGTGGAGGAGGGATTTCCAGCATACGGCAATGTTGACCTCCTGTCGCTCCAGGTCAGGTCACCAGGTCACGCTAAATGATCTCTCCTAAAGAACAACAAATTTTTACTTGTTAGGTACACCGACGAATCGATTGCTATTCTAAACTTTCGCTATTTGCTAGGAGCTGCAGATGCAAGAAAAAACGTTTATCTTGCATTTTAAATTTAGGCAAACGCTACGCCAACTTATGAACTCATTATGAGCCACTAACGAAAGGTCAACCCGACAAAAAAAAAACGCTTCACCTTTGCTTTGGGTTCACAAACACGAGTCACCCCCCCCCCCTCCTCCCCAGCTCTCGTGCCCCAGCCGTGATGCCCGGCTCAGAGTTGCCAGTAGCCGCTGCCGCCACATGAACCCACATCTGGTATACCTCCGCCGAGAGACTGGCTGAGCCCGTTTGCACCGTCCGGCCTCGCCGCGGAAGGATTTGGCAGCCTCCGGGAGAAATTTTCAACAAGGTCGTGGGCACCACGGCAAACATGTCCGCTTAGGAGTTACGTAAAAACACTCACACCAAATATTCCACTTTCACTGCCAGTTCCGTCTCATGAGACGGGTGAAAAGTATGGGCTAAAGCGAGAAACATGAGTTTTAACCCTCGCATGTGTGCGGCGTTTGCCAGCTTCTAATGTGTAGGGGGGGGGTCGGTTGGACCCCCCCCCCTTGCCGTTTGGCCCCTGATTGAGCTAGAGCTTCGCGGAAAAAACGAGCGTGCTGCCCGTGACGAGAGGAAGCCGATGATGCCCAATTTTAAGGTCCTAGGTCATTGGTTGACCTTCCAGGTCAGGGCAATGACCCAAAGTCGGGAAAATCGGGACCTGTTAGAAAGTCGTAAAGTGTGGCTGCTAAGAGGTTTTTCGGGGTGCTGATCACGAATATCGTGTTAGTTTTGATCACAGATGATGTCTTGAAGCATTTAGACCAGGTCGGGTCAGGTCAGGTCAGGTCAACCAGTAGGCGTCGTGACGGGTATTCGTAGTACGTGTTAACCGCCTCTGACAGCTTCGTAACATGTTACGAAGTCACCAAAACTACTTCGTAAATGTTCAAATGGTTGCTAAATTCGAATTCAGCTCCAAAAACTAGCCTAGAAACATGTAAAACTCGAAAAAGTGAACCGAGGTCACCCGAGGTCACCAAAGGTCAATGACCTGACCTGACCTTCAGGTGACCTTGACACACACGGGAGTAACATCAAATCACATGTTTTAACGTTTGAAACCACGAAAAGCTTGCAAACACGCGGCTAGTGCGAGCCGACATACGCGAAATCGCGATTCCGGCCAAACATGGTCTCGGAAAAGAGGTCACAGGTCAAAGGTCATTTGGGTCAGGGTCATGAAATTTTCAGGGTAGGTGTAAAATTGATCAATGCGAGGGTACTGAAAGTTTCGTCGCGATCGGCCGCTTTTTACGCGAGTTATTCGCGAAAAACCATGGGGGGGGGTCCATCCGACCCCCCCCCCCCCCCTACACATGCGAGGGTTAACGATCAAGTGCAACGCGGTTGATAGGTATCGCAGGCGGCCGAATTTGCAAATTAGATAGGTATGTGTATAAAACACAATGAACATGAACAGGCTGTGTGAGATTTGACTGTTGCAGATCAGAGAGCGGGAAAATATCTGACCCAGAATGCCAACCACCACATGGTGCACTGCATAACTATTCGAATTCGGTCAGAAGCTCGGTCCTGGGAAAGCATTACGACACTTACCGGTGACATTTTTCACCGGACATGAAAGAATTAGATGGTCAATTCAGAAATACAAACAAAGGAAGCCTCGGTACAGGAGTAATAAGTTGACGTCGAAAAAATCAATAGTCACCGTGGAAAAAATGTGTCACCCGGATTAACGAATAAGTGCACACAGCAGGGGCACGTGCCTTCCGCCCAGACTGGCTTTCACGTATACTGCGGGTTTTTTCGAAGAGGGCGGTTTCAAATCCGACCGGTGCAACGTCTACGGTTAATTCTGTTGCGTCATTCTATTAGTCCCGTTAAACTTTTAAGTGCACAAAGTTTGCTAGACAATGCTTACCTACACGTCGTTTGTCCCAGTTGCGCAGCGTCACCGGCTCAGAAAGACTGTTCAGACTGAAAGACTGCTCAGACAAGCCTGGCGAAATGATAATGGTCGAATACCTATAAATAATGCCATTTATGTGGATGTATGCCGTATGTAATTGCTGGTAAAGCCGTTTAGGTGAGAAAACGCCACATTTGACCCTCGCTGAACCTATTACTTTTCTAGAGGTATACGGTTACAGGCTACAGCCAGTCGGCTTCATATACATATACGGCTGAGAGGAGAGGCGGGTATAGGTACGACCCCCTCGACGTCCGACTTGAGTCAAAGCGAACGGTCGAAAATCAACGGAAAAAGAGGTAGAGAGAGGTAAACACTGTAAAAAATAAAAACACATTTCGTGTTATATATTAGCCGTTACAAAACACAGCGATTGTTATTCAATTTTAGCAGGAAACGTTTGTTTTAAATTGCATTAGCGAGACATAAGAAAGCGAAATCCAGGAAGCTGGATAATTTTTCCGAGGAAAATGTACCCCCTCCCCCCACTGGATCTCAAGTCACTTCTCTGGATCCACTATTGTTCCAGACTCGCGAACTCAATTTGATTGGGAGTTGAAAAAACTTCGATGACCTAAAATGACCTTGGCTGCATCATAAAGGTATGAGGTAACGCAAGGTATATAATTATCTGCATCAGACTCTCCCTGAAAGTTTCAGCGCTCCTTTCAAAAGGTTCCTGCCTCTTGGCACGTTGCGAGGTTGCGACATCTTAGGACCATGCATTATTTCGTTGCCTAAATTGGTGAGTGAGCTGACCTGAAAATGCAAAGGTGATGCTAAAATATCCTAAAAACAAATGCCACCCTATACGATGTTTCAGCTCTCATCTCCAAAACGCGTTCCGAACAATCGTGCAAAAAAGCCAGGGGTGGACGGTGGTATAAAGACACGCCCCCCCCCCTCCAGCCTACGCCAGAAGGCATCTTGTGTCACGCTTTTCCTATTGCTGACCTAATGAAGGAGTATTTTTAACGGTGTTTCACTTCAGAGTCAGCTTTGTGACGTCTTTGTAATATCTATATCACTTCTGCAAGCTGCAAGCCTAAGGCAGTATTTTCGGATTGTGACAGGCTTTTGTTGTCTTGCACTGCCCTCTCCTCTCTTGCGCTGAATTACCGTAGCGCGGGCTGGAGCAACCCGGTACCTACTACCTCTCGAGTTAGCCTTCCCCGCCCCCCCCCCCCCCCCAACTGCAGACAGCTGCAGACCTCCCGTTCCACCAGCTGGCTGCACGCAACTGGACTCCAAAGAAGCACCTGCGCACGGCTCGCCGGGCTA